GAAAAAGTACGCATTTTTTAAGGTCGGTTCGTAAGTACCTGAAAAGTACTTAAATCTCGCGGAAGGTCCGTAATTTTGCGCGTTCAGTTCGATCGCCTGAGAGTTATGCAACCCTCTGTGCTTTGGCCGTCAGGTGTATCAGTACAATGTCAGCCCGTAAGAGCGCGGTTGTTGTAGAGGAGCGGAATAAGGCATTTCCCTCGATTTGACGAAAACAGCCGAAAAGGCCACGGGAATAGCCGAAGTAAAGCGCGTGGCAGTGCAAAAATCGAAGAATTGCGATACGTCGCGAACAGGTACTTAGGTAAAAAGTACTTAATTTTTCCCCAAAGCGAGGTACTTAAATTTTTCCTTAAGTACCTAAAAAGTACTTAAGAAGTACTTATTTTTTTTTTGTGGACCTCAGTAGAGTTGTTTTTGGGAGTATTCCGTCGTTTTTAGCATGAAAAATGTTTTCTCCCTAGAGTTTTACAGTCTCATAAAAATTATATTTTATGTGATTTAAAAATCTGATTGAATCAAGAGTATTTTTTCTTGTCGAATTCTCGAAGAGTCTGTTCTGCGGATCCAAGAGACTTACTTCCCTCGTGCAGGTCAGCGAGTTAACAGCATCGTTTGCGCTTTTCATAGACAATGAGTCAGTTAAGCTCGAGAGGGATTTGCCTGCAAATAGTCGAGTCTTACTGTTTTCGGTACGAGAAGAACGATGCGCACATTAAAATTTCACGAAAAATAGTCTCCGCGGAGATTGACGCTTCCTTTTTTGGGGTTCTCGAAAACATGTTTGAAACGAACGCCGTGAATCTTCGAATCTACAAGTGAGAGTGAAAGCAAAACTCTAGACGCACTGATACGAAACCTGGACAAACCGAGAACTGATCATGAGCAATACGACGGAGGAAATGCGTAGCAGGTGTTCCCAGTCAGAGATGTTTAGGGGATAGTCAGATATGGTTGGGGGACCTCCCACCGTCTGATTTTCCGTTTCCCTCTCCGGCTAAACCCATCCCTACCCGCTCACAACACGTGTCACCCTTCTACTCTGACATGGATTCTATGGCAGTATCACTACCTTTCTTATGCTCTCTGACTGGGAACACCTGCTACGCATTTCCTCCGTCGTATTGCTCATGATCAGTTCTCGGTTTGTCCAGGTTTCGTATCAGTGCGTCTAGAGTTTTGCTTTCTTGATTTTGTCTTTAGTTTTTTTTTTTTTTTTTTTTTTTTTTTTTTTTTTTTTTCTATTGAAATTACTTAATTGTGATGTGTATTTTTCAGAAGATAATTTTCCTTTTTACGGCAGCACAGGTTTTATTACTAATTCACTTTTTTACAGCAGCTCATGTGTTCTTCCAAGAGAATCGGTGATTAATCTTCACCCTTTTGCACCGTTAAATTTTCACAAAGTGTTTTGATTTTCTTTTCCAGGAGTGTTTTTTATTTTCAAGGATTTTTCTTATTCTAGAAGTAGGTGGTTATCATTATTAGTTTCTTATTCTTTGTTTCTGAATTTATCATTTTGCCTCCAGGAAGTCCTCTAATTACTTGCAGTAGCAAAATTTGGCGCGCGAAGCGAGCCAACATTCGACTGGGGGTCCAGGGGGCGAAGCCCTCGGCTAGCGGCGCAAGCAAGCGTAGGGAGCTGAAGCCGCTAGTTGTGTTTTAATTGAATAGTTAATTATGACGGTGAAGCTGTAAAATCGCCAATTACCTAACGAATCCTTTTCCTCAAACCGAAAAATTGATAGAGAGATTCCTGAAAGGCAGAAAAAAACTCAGATTCGCGGGATTAAGTAAACTCGTTGAATCTCGAATTTGACGAAGAAATTTATATAAAGGGATAAATAAAAGTATGAAAATAATAAGTCTTGCTGGCCTTGAAAGTCTTCAAAGACGCATTATGGTCAATAAGGCGTGTTAGGTATAGTGCGTGAATATATGGCTAACAACTAAAATAAAAACAACGACTCTGGGGGTATAATGAGCTGAAGAAATAAAATTAAAAAATCGGTCCGGCCGAAATTTCATTAAACTTAAGGATACTGCTGAGTTTCTTATACAGGCACGAAAGGCCTAAAAATAAAAATTCAAGGCGTCAAAAATAAAAATCCCCCAATTTTGAAGTTATATATACTGCCAGGATTATATCAAACGTTTTCCGACCTGTAAAAAATAAAACGTATATTGGCGCAAAGAGGTCTGTCTTGCATTACACAGGAGTGCAAATGTGTCTTCTGTGGCGGCACGGCACGGCACACGCACATATCATCTCAATGATGCGCGTGCCGTGCCGAAGCGCCCGCTCGGAGCAGTTTCAACTTCGGCCACTGGTTACAGTTCGATCGCTCGGTCCCCTATTGCAAAGTTGTGCCATACCAACCTGGTGGGGAGTCGGCGATCGACTATAGATAGAGGTCGGGGCATAGGCCGGGAAATCAGTGCTAATGTGTAATTCAAAGAGACGAGTTCTGTCAATCTCGGCACAGACCCGTCGTATACCCTCCACGGCACAGACCCATATACCTTCCACGGCTTAGACCCGTGCATAGAACTTAGTATTTAGAGATTTAGATCTATATATGTGAAACCATACAATTCATTCAATATAAACGCAATATGTGTCAGTGGCCCTCGTATTATCATTACTGAAAAACCACCCCCCACACTTTTTCTCCTTCTCCTTTTCCTTCTTCTCCTTCACAAACGTCAGGATTTTATAGGTAACCCCAATGTAATTGGCAGCGCTGAGTTCAATTATGATCATAGATTTCAATCTCCAACAATTTTTGGTAGGAAAAACAAGATTTTCCTTAAAAACGGGCTTTTTCGAAGAAAGTTTTATTTTTCAAGAAAGTGGTGCCTGACAGAGATGAAATAAGGTCATTTTTGGATCTAGCAACGATAAATACATATGGATATGTGTATTGCATGTCTAACGAATGTTCCTTCCTATGTCAAGTAGGTAAATATGTTCCTCTGGTCAAACGGCATGATGCGCTTATGAACCCCCGTATGGAATTGATCCTGTTGTTTTTGTCTGAGAGAACGGAAAAATTGTTTCATAGAGATGCCTAATGGAGCAACTTCTATTGGGTGATTTCTCGATAAAAGGAATAGTCGTGCCACCGTGGGTTGTAAACGACTTAGGGTAAAACTATTGAAAACCAAGTTGATAAATCAATAGGAATGATGTCCCTGAACTCATCTTTGCTAAAAAGTATGATAAATTATGATTGTATTTCCTAATAAGAGACTTTAAAGGCCGAAAATGTCCGGTCGGTTACGCGTCGCCCACCCCGATTTTGAAGCAAAAGATCGATTTGCGGTAGTAATTCAGTACTGATTATGAATTCTTTGGAAATATTTGCAGAGTGAAGACTCTAATGTTCAAGAAAATTGCCATTTTGAACTGAAGTGTTTATTTATAAGCGAGAAAAGTCATTAGAAAGAATGTCACCACATTTGGCAACCTATATTTCAGCAGTTGTATTAAGTGCAGTGTTCATCTCGCCAGATGGAACCAGGAGTTTTAAAACTGTCATAAAAGTGTTCGCTGAAGTCTTCTCGATCAAACCATTACTAATAAGTCGGCTTTTTCTACACCGAAGACTTTAAATTTAATGAAAACCTGTGATTTTTAGGTCTGTAGCACTAATTGCACTCTACACAAAATCCTCATTTAACATTATTTAACTAACAGGAAGTCCCTAAAGTTTAGAAAACTTTTAAGGCAGCAGTATTTTCACCTCATATCTCAAGAATTGCCAAGTTTCATCTTTTGTATCATCTTTTAATTCACATTTTCAAGTGTCGGTTACGTAACGGACACAATTTGTTGTCGTCTCCCTGACCAGGCATTCTATTGGTCTGCCCGATAGCACCAGAGATTGAATCAAGCTTTTCAATGCGACCAGGTGAAGAACCACTTGTGGTTGAGGCGCCCATCCTTGGTATGCACTCGACTCGAAAAATTTTGCATCGAGCGAATGCTTGATTTACCCATCATGAGGCACTGTATGGAAAAGACGGACCTTAAACTTAGAAATACACATAATTAGGAACTAACTAAGAAAAATTAACAACCTCTGAAAGAACAGAACTAAAAAAAAAAAAAAAAAAAAAAAAAAAAAAAAAAAAAAAAGGCGGCATTAGGGACGACCGGGCCTTTACCACTCTTCTTTTGGCCGAAAGATGGAGAAATTACCGCTCGAGAAGTGGCATGAGAATAGGAAAAAGAGGAATTATTTCTCATGCATTTTTTTTCTAGAACCTATTTGGCATATTTTTACTTACGGAATACAGAGAGCGATCAAGAAACCCGAGGTTCAGAAACTGTCGGAGGCAGCTCGCCGAGGGGCACCGGGACTTCTTCAGTAAACTCTATCCAGAGCCATAGGGCAATAATTACAAGCATACTCGTAAGCAAGCCCGCAGAAACTGGAAGCCCATCCATGCAAATACCACTCTGTCAGCAGCCGTGGACGCTGCCCTCGCTACTCCGTAATCTGAGAGCTAAAACTTCGTTTAGCTCAGCATGACTACTTACTTTTGCTATGCTCTCCCTGACTCGCTCCTCTAAATTTTTTTCTTTTCTTTTTTTTCATGTTCAAATTTTTTTTTCTCAATCATGATCATGAAAGGACATCGAGTTTGCAGAACGATGAGACAGAGCAGTGATCCCAAGCCTGTGGATCGCGTACGGACCAAAAGTATACGGGGAAACGTTTCCTTATCTTAAAAAGTTCGGAAGCGTGATGTCACAGAGTGACAAAGCAGTGAATAGTAGCATGGAGAGCGGGAGCGCAGTGCACACGAACTTCGTAAACGGTGCATCCGGGAACACTGAGACAGGTCTCTTAGGAAGGCATGTTGAACTTTTTCTAGCTGCAATATAACGCCATTAAAAAGGGGTATACAAGTAAGAAAAGCATACTATAAAATTGAGACTACTTACCAAGGATTTGAATAGTTGTAACATGGTTTTTTTCATTTTGTTTCAGAGCCTAAAGAAGTAATCCATGAAATTTTGTCAAACGTGTGCCAAAAACAGCATTTATCAGAGGCAAAAATTCTTGCTTATTTAAATGCATTTGTGCAGTTCCTAGTCAAACTGAACCCAGACCTCACACCCTGTGATCTTGGATTATCTATAGAGGAAATACTTTTGTGGTATGCAATCTTTAACACTTTTTCACTCTCCATCTCTAATTTTGTTTTTTTTTCTTGTTTTTTTGTTTTTTTCTGCTTTGAAAACAGGGAGAAAACCGAGTTCCGGCAACTACTGCCCGCATGTGCCAGGAACGGGCGGCCAGTCCCACCCCCGACAGCCGCAATCAGCTGACAGGGGGTTTGAGAGGGTCATCCGTACCCCGCACACACGAGATTGAGGCATGCTCGATGGTCAGCAGCGCGCGAGTGGGTTCGGACCCCGACTAAAAGCCTCCACACCCACCCAGTTACACGAACTGGTGGTTCTCCCAGCGAGACATCCCGACCAGACGAGACATCCTGACCAGACGCTCTTCTCCTAATTTGGTTTTTTCTCTCGAAAAAACGTCAGTTCACTGTGTTCATACATCATAATATTTATAAGCTGCGTTTCGAAAGTAGTTCATCGTAAGGTTATCTCAGATCTACCTTCAAAAACATTTCTTTCCGGATTCACAGTATTTGCTGCAAGAAGAATCTTGCCTAGCACAATTTTCGAGGACAGTGCTACAACTTTTTTAGGAGCAAGCAATCACTTTAAGAAACAACTTCACTTAATTAGGAAGGATTCTGATGTTCAAAAGTACACCACAGAAAATATATAAGAGTGGAAGTTCAACCATCCCTATTCTCCTCTCCTAATCACGGAGGACTTTTATTTTTTATTTATTTGGGAGTCTGCCATAAAACTTTCCAATTCGCAATTGTATAAAGTAATGAGAGCAAGATTATTCAATCCACAACAGTTAACGCAAATTGTGCCTGAAATTGAAGATGTGCCTAGCTCGAGACTTTTGGTACTTTTATCTAGGGATCCTGAAGCAGAGTGGGTACTCGTATCCCCCTGCTTACGACAGAGAACAATAGAATCTCCCAGCCAGTCAATGAGAGTCTCGGTTCGGGGAATAGTCGCAAAGGAGCTCGAAATAGTCCCGTCGCGCAGAGCATGATGGGAAAATCTGAATCTTGCACAGTCGAAAGAACAGCAAGTTTTATTGCCATTTGAGACCTTCACTTACAGCTCGATTATCTCATCGAAAAAAACTAATATTTAGCTGACAGTTTTAGGACACACACTTCATCACGCTGCTAATACATTCCACCCATAAAAACTTTTCATTTCTACTCTCACAAAGTGAACTTGCGCGTAGAAAAACGAGATTTTTTCAGAAGAATGCGTGACTGTTTGAATTCCCGCTACGCATGACTAGTCCACAGATATATTGTGAGAGCACCCACTTTGCTATCAGATCCCTACTCTCCTCCAGCGCCTCTGAAGAATGGGCATGTTGCAAACCTCAGTTAGAGCCCAAAGTAGAGTTGTTTTTAATAGAAAATGGCTCAAAAATCACGATGGAAGCATTGGGAAAGTCTGAAATATACTCCTGACTTCAAAATCTGGGTCAAAAATATGCGTTTTTTTAAATTTTCCACTTCAAAAACGATACTACGGCATAGATGAACATTTCAAGAGAGGAGTCGCTTCATCCAAACCTTGCGCACAAGGATACAATATTCAGCATGGCTGACGCTTCTGGGGGCATATCGTGAGGAAGCACCATGGTCTCTATCAATGTAGGGAAAACGTGAATATAAACTCACCGGTTAATGAAAGCCTCTCTCGTCACGTTTGTGTTGGTAGGTTGGCGTTGGCCATGTGGAATATTGAGTAGCATCCTGGTGAGCAAGGGTTGGATTGAGGGACTCCTGTTACGAAAGAGGGTTATTCAAAATCGGCGATTTTGCCCTACTCTTGGATTCTGCCCGGAGTTGGATATGTTGTTCCCTATCACAAGACTCACCTTTTTCCGGCATTGGCAAGTTCTCCCGAAATGTTTCCCGCGCGCTACGGCGTTGCCAAGTTGAAAACAGGCAAATCCCGTAAGTGGTATTAAAATTGAGCTATGAAGTTGCGGTTTTAACGAAAATTCTCTAAAAATTGCGCACTTTAAGGAAATGACCATGTTTTTAATGTCGCATTAATTTTAACATGCATTGTTGCCAATTTTTTTATTTTTAAATTCGACAAATTTTACAAATCCGCAAATACTCAAAAACGCTATCTTCAAATTTGAATGAAAAGTTGTCTAATCGATAGTTCCTTCAATTTTGCATCCATCAATATATTACAGCTCGCAGGGAAACTTTTTGTTCGCGAGATATAATCATTTTTGTAAATAGCTTTATGGAGCGACGACGCTTTTTGAGTCCGGGCAGATAGAAATTTTAGCCTCCAAAAACACCGGGTAGCATTAATTCCATGGTTTCCTGTGTAACTTTTGGCGCTGAATCCGAATTTGACCATTTCATAACAAAATTGTCACCAAGAAGTTGCCAAATTTGGCAAAAATGGCTTAAAATCGCCCTTTTTCTCAAATTATAAACAGTGACTTGCCAGGAGTTGATCGGACGACAAAATTGGTTATTTCCACAGTTGAAACTCATTTAAATTTCTACAAGCTGAGTCAATTTCTTACAACATACCACTTTTTTACAAAATACCATCAAAATCAGCCTGTTTTTATGAATGTTAAGGACATTCCTGTTTTTATTCCTGCAGAAATATGTGTTGAGAATTAGTTTAGATGAAAATTTTATCAGCAACAAGAAATTGGAACTAGTTAAGTCACAACTGTAAGTGATGAATATGAAAAAGGACACATCTCAAATTCTTGTCTGAAATTTTTTCCACACCATCCAGCTTGGCTTTTGCAACAATTCTTGTGCCGATCAATGTATTACATAGTCAAGATTTTATAAATATTTCTGCTTTTTCACTGTGCTTTACGTATAAATCAAATAGTGTTTTGTCTGTTCTGTATTTAATGGTCTAGTGGATATGTGTCCTACGATGAATTTTTCGTTCATTTATTGCTTCCAAAATGAGCTGTGATATTTTAGCTTTTACAATTCAGAAAATCTGATGGAACATCTTTTGTTTTTTTCACAGTATGCGGGCCATACTAGTTCAAGAATCTTCAACTGTTCGTTCCGCTGGGCTCCGGGTTTTGCGACATCTGCTGAAAACCAAACAATCATTTTTTATCTTGAACAAAGTCCAAATTCCGATTCTTATAGCTAGGTAATAATATTTTCTCTTCGTTTAACGTGGTGAACACATGGAAAAAGCTATGAGAATCCTCGCTGTATGCAAATTCTCCATTGCAGATCCAGCAAATTATCCAAGAATGCTAATAAACGTCTATAGCATGAAACTAATGAAAATTTTCATACCTCAAGTCAATATTTTGAACCTCTCAGAGTAGATGAAATATGGCGTTTCACCTGTCTTTTGAAATAACTGGTTGTTTCAGTTGAGAGCCAGTTTCTTTAATTTTGCTCCTAATACAATTGTAAGTACCAGCAGCACATAAGCATCTAAACTATTCTAATGGCTGACTTTTTTATGACAATTAAATATACATAATAGTCAATTATCTGAATGATAAAAATTCACATATGTCCAACGAACAACAATTTGCCGTAAGTTTTCATGGTTTTTCGCGTTGCAAACAATTATTCCAATCAAACCATGGTAACCACTCAAAAGCTTGTAAAATTTAAAATACTGACTTTGAACAGATTACAGTGTAGACTGAATCCCTCACAGCAACACAGAGCTTCACAAAAATCTTGAGTGAAAGGACGATGTTGCAAATTGTGTCAGCATGCTCCTGCTAAGAATTCAATGACAACATTTTTAGCCCCTCGACCCCCCCCCCCCCCATCGGGTTTGGGAGGGAAGGGGGCTGAAAATATTGTCATTGAATTCTTTGGGGTCGATTTACCCCAATAGTAGGGCGGATAAGCATAACAATCGTGCATTTCTGGAAGAAAGCATGAAACTTTCAGGATATCATCTTTACCTATAGAAGGTTCAATTTCGCAAGTGAGCCCAAAATTCTGAGGCCATGGGGGCCGGGGGGGCAGGGGGCCCTGATTTCGCTATGTTTTGCCGAATTTTCGCGTTGGATCATCGTAAGAACGCCGTCAACAATGTAAAATGTAATCAAAACTTGTGTAAACGTGATTAGTAGGTTCTCTCAAACAGTATCCTAAAATGCTATCACTGTCCGATCCCGGAGCACCCCTCAAAATGCCAAAAAATCAAAATGGCGCCCATAATAAGGCCTCCGGAATATCGGTATTTTCACTTGTGCATATCCTGTCATGTGAGGTATCATTTTCCATGTAATTTTGGTCGCAGATTTCATATTTGAAGTCAAAACAACCCCCCGGTCAAAATTGGTGCCCCCAATCCAAGATGGCGTCCAGATTTGAAAGGCAGGAGGGTGCATTTTTTAAAGTTTTACGCGATAAGGCAAGTGATATGTCATTTCCTATGTAATTTTGGTCGTACATTTCATTACTGAAGTCAAAAAAGCCCCCCGGTCAAAATTGGTGCCCGAAGTCTAAGATGTCGGCCAAATTTGAAAGGCAGGAGTGTGAATTTTTATGAGAAAAAAAATCACGTGAGATGACAAGTGAGGTATCAATTTATACGCATTTTTAGTCAACAAAACGAATCTAAATGAAATGTAAAAAAAATCTTTTACACAAAAATGATACGAGATAATTAAGAGGGTGATCAGTTCGGCCGTCCACGGTAGGAATGGTGTTAACAGGAGCATCTATCATGAGCTATTTTATTCATTTTTAAGCCCATATAATTTCTCAATAAAGATAAGGACATTTCACGCGACGCACCCTCCAGTATTAGGGTATAATACCTCCAGGGTATACCCTCTTGCCTTACCCTCTCCAGTCAGTATAGGAGAAAATCCTAATCAACACATGCTGATTCACATTCCCAGTCAGGCTCTTCAGGATCTTCTTCCTACGGTTTTGTAATTTTTTACAGTTGGAGTCTTCAGAACTTCTGCATGAGTCTAAGAACAAAAAGATTATTTTTTTCTTGGTGGTACAGCATGGTGTCACTCCCTTTCTTACAATTACACCGAATAATTTTAAGCGGGGATTCCGGGAGCTGGAGGCAAGTCACTTAAAATAGGATGAAGCTCCTTGTTTTTATTGATCCATCCCCAAAGACAAGCACCCAGATCACTTCATCCCATCCACAGTTGAGTATAAAAGTAGCTCCTAAATTAATGTTACCTACTTCATTGCTGATGATATCGAGGGTAATTTCTCTAATTGAATGAAGACATTGAAATCTTGAAATTTTTCCTTCGATATATGATGACGGAGGTCAGCGAAAGTCACATTTTTGGCTACCATTGAGGAGTAATATTTCGACAGTGAAACAGCAAAAGTGCGTATCTTGGTTGCAGGATTTCAAAATATTCGCCCCTATTTTATTTTCTGAAAGGGGAACAAACCGACATCATGGCTTGAAATTTTTACAGAATATTCCTCACATAGAGAGTGAAAACAAGCAAAGTTTTCAAGAAATGACTCCAGTATTTTTTAATGAAGGAACGGAAGTATGACAAGAAGTCTGCTACACCACAAATCGAAATAGTATTTAAGCAGTTTCACCATCGATTTACTCTTTTCCAGCTCTTTACATCCGTTCGTGGTTTTGATTAGGTTCCAAGAACCTTTCTTTGGATTCTTGCAGGTAAGGATCAGATAAAAGCATACAGAATAAAGTTGCTGTTCCTATTTTATGGATGTAAGGGGTTGAATCGCAACCAGTAAACGCATGCAAGAACAGCGATCATCTCGGATTTTGCGCGTTTAACATCACTTTGAAAACGCAAAGAAACATTGGTGTCTGCTCATCAATATGATGGAACATATGTTTGTGCAATGGATTCGTAAGTATGCCTATGCTTTGATCGCTTTCGATGTAGTAGAGACCCACCAACTGAAACCGACTGAAAGTTTTCTAAATTATTTTCGGTACTTAATAATTGTTCATCCTCTGAGTCTAGGGCATCTGAAATGGAGTTCAGAGTTTTTGTGCAGTTATCAGCAAGACACCTCACTATTAGTGGCTCATCATTTTTCACTTGTCAGCCATGATGGCTTTCATCTTGATTATCTCGTTTCATTTTTGTGTAAAAGATTTTTTTTACATTTCATTTAGGTTCGTTTTGTTGACTAAAAATGCGTATAAATTGATACCTCACTTGTCATCTCACGTGATTTTTTTTCTCATAAAAATTCATCTTAGACTTCCGGCACCAATTTTGACCGGGGGGCTTTTTTGACTTCAATAATGAAATGTACGACCAAAATTACATAGGAAATGACATATCACTTGCCTTATTACGTAAAAATTTGAAAAATGCACCCTCCTGCCTTTCAAATCTGGACGCCATCTTGGATTGGGGGCACCAATTTTGACCGGGGGGTTGTTTTGACTTCAAATATGAAATCTGCGACCAAAATTACATGGAAAATGATACCTCACATGACAGGATATGCACAAGTGAAAATACCGATATTCCGGAGGCCTTATTATGGGCGCCATTTTGATTTTTTGGCATTTTGAGGGGTGCTCCGGGATCGGACAGTGATAGCATTTTAGGATACTGTTTGAGAGAACCTACTAATCACGTTTACACAAGTTTTGATTACATTTTACATTGTTAACGGCGTTCTCACGATGATCCAACGCGAAAATTCGGCAAAACATAGCGAAATCAGGGCCCCCTGCCCCCCCGGCCCCCATGGCCTCAGAATTTTGGGCTCACTTGCGAAATTGAACCTTCTATAGGTAAAGATGATATCCTGAAAGTTTCATGCTTTCTTCCAGAAATGCACGATTCTGGGAACTTTTTCCCCTTATCCGCCCTACTACAAGAAGTTTTCGTCCCGAAGATCAATTCCCGGCCGTTTCCGAGAAAAGATAGTGTAAGGGTGCTGAGGAACACCCAGTATACCTCTACCAGTATGTTGCAAAAATATTTTTTCTATAATTAGCAAAAGAATTATGATTTAAACCTAAGTAAGAATATTTAACAAAATGCCTGATTTGACTTTTTGCCTGCAACATATATTTTGGCAAAAGTGTAGTCAAGTAGTAGGCATTTGTAAAAGGAAAATCATGAAGAAAATATCTGTCCAAAAGTAAGGGAAGGGCCAATCTGAAAATTTTTTAATGAGGGAAAAGCAAAACATGTTATGGAATCTCGAGATTGTGAAATAAGATATTAAGAAAACCCTGAATGCTTCTGTAGTGTCTAAACTGCTTTCATGGCTTGCATCAATATCCAAAGATGAGGGGCGATGGAAACGAGCTTAACTACATCAGACATCGCTGTATAAAGTGGAAAACTAAGTAACACTGAAACTTGAAATTTTGTGAGTATATACTTCATAATTTAGGGTAAAGTTACATAAAATCTAAAGACGTTACATGGTTTAGTTATCTATGGACACCATTTAAAATTTTGCAACATGAAATAGAGTCGGACTGAATTTAGTCAAAACATCTAATTTTCCTGTTGTTATCAGTTGGATTTTTGGACGAGGCAGTTTTCAGAACCATCCTAGTGATTCATAATCTGAATGCATTGCTGTTAACAGGAGTGTAGATTTATTAGTCCAGAATCACAATGAAAGAGTTCAAGCCTTACAGCTAGTTCGCCATCTCCTTAAGGTTGCCCCTGAATATTTTCCTCTCCAAGTGGCTAGGGCTGTTGCGGCAGCTATTTTCCCTGCAGCCGGAGACAATGATCGGCTCATCAGATCTTGTTTAGCAATTTTATGTGAATTGGGTAAGTAAATGTCTCATCTGGTAAAACTTATCTGAATTTTTCATTTGACTTTTCATACTCTCTTCATTCAAAAGCAAATACTGCATCCCTGTTTATGTGGGATCTTGTAATTAGGGGGGATGAAATGATCCAACGCTAGTCTCAAATGGTAGACCTGATCAATGGAAGCGATATGACTTAAGATTACACACCGGGCTGAGGTGATATATCTAATCGCTGCCCGATGATACGACCTAGCACCACAGACCTCTCAGAGTATATATCCCAGTAGCTCTCGAAAGAGCAATGACGTCAGAGATGTCAGTGTGATGACCGATGCTCCAAGGTAGATGCTCTGAGACGTCTACATGCACGCCTGAGCTTGCACTTGCGAAAGCAACGGCTTTCGTCCCAAGGCGATTGACGCATCATGAAATGGGACATAGAACTGTAAGTAATATGGTTCGTCATTTCGTGGAAATCTCCCAGGAACATCTTTAAGCCACGTACTTAACAATATCTTTAAGAAAAACCAAAATGATCAGAACAAACAACGCAGCATAGTAACATTCATTCAAAGATTAGGAAGTTATTTGCACCTGGTGGAATCTATAATCACCTGGAGTCACCAAAACACGATCAACTGATGGGACAGAGCGGGATTGTGCACACCAATCAAGTCAATACCTATTTACACTGGAGAAAACTGCATATATGGTCCAAGTGAAGTCTCATGACAATCAGAAGGGAAGGCTTGTGATGCCTTAGCCGTGGGTAAACGGTAGGATGGGGTCAGACCGCAGGGTGAGTCACACCGCCAGTCGACCGTCGCACCCCCAGCAGTGGTCAAATTTGGAAATTCAAAGCATGGGATTAAGCAGTTGGAAGTGTTCGTCTATTGTTTGATGTTCGACGAATGATCCTATTTTCATGGGTGGCGGTAGCCACCTCCGGACAAAGTCTAAACTCGACAACACTGGAAAGCCTCCAAACGAAAAAAGGTGGCAGCCAACCATAGACACACGTAACTCCCTTATTCTGAAAATTGATTCGACTCTAAGTAGACTGCAGCCCAAACGACGGCACGGATTCCAACGATCTTGGTGTCTACTGACGCATCTAAATTGGGCCTACTAAGTTGGAAAGTTTCATCCAGATCCATTGAGTTTTCAAAAAGTTATAAGCACTTAAAGGCCCAAAATGACAAATATTTTTTGTAACATGGGCCGTTCAGTAGCGGGAAACCGACATGATCACCTTTCACAACAGATTTCTTGCTTACGCGGCCACAGATTCTAATGAAACCTACAAAGGATCATGCTTGAAGATATGAGGATTTCATTTCTACCACATTTAATAGGGTTTCAATGCTCGGATAATTCAGCATCGGCAAATAACTTTCAAAATTTTAGCTACAATGTTTTGAATTTTAGAAAAATCCGGTATAGTGGTTCAATGCCATTGGTCGATTCCGTTCAGTTCAGCCAGTCTCGGGAACGAAATTTCCCTAGTTACCAATACCAACTTCCAACTCTAACTACTTGAGAACAGATTTATGATTTAATATAATATAAGAGTTCAATTCTCTGTAGAAGCTAACTAATATTTTTACACACTTATATTATTACGTCGCACGTCTTCTGCCAGAGCCCGATACACTATTTCATTAGTTTCAAGTGTTCAAGTGATGTCATTGTTCAGAAGTGAGGTTATCAGTCGGTGTACATGTCTGAGTCTGACCCATATACGTCAATGGTCTGATCCAAGCATCAATGAATGTAATTCGGATTCCAAAATTCAGGTAAATTACGTCGATAAAAGGACACCAAAGTTGTGCCAAACTATCAAAAGGAAGCAGGATTTTCACCACAGTTTGCATTCTCGTGACTAACAGCATCCAAATATTTCCCTACCATGCACACCGATGGATCGAAGGGAGAGCCCATTACTCTCAGTTTTTAATTACATTATTGTTTTCCTCAAGTCACGAATGCTAGTTTCCATATCTTGATGAGATGTAGTTGTTTTCAGTGGACCCTATCAGTCTCAAGAAAAGATCTAAAAATTACTGTAATATGAGCCTTCCCCCATCACACTACTTGCGACACGGTCACAATGCTCTGACCAAAATTTATTCGCTTTAAATTTTGCTTTCAACCTACGTGCTCTGGAGTGCTTGTGCTTCTCCTAAGTGTATGTTATTGACATTAAGATCTTGTGTTCTTCATGACTAATCTTGGAAAGCTTTCGCCTCTTACCGTTGCTGGTTTACATCATCGGTATATGCGGGGATGCGAGGTATAATTCAATCACTAAGTCAACTTTATGTCCCTAAATCAGAGATCTTTGACGATGAGTATTAGCTCAAATTTGGTTTTCTTCGAGTCTCTTTGATTTTGCGTCAGAAGTTGTTAGAAACACCATGTGGCCAGTCAATGTGTAACAAAGTCTTTCATGAAAGGTATGTACTCGTTCTATTTTCTCAGCTTGATGATTACTATAAAATCAAGAATTTACATTCCTGCATAAATCGCTGGGCCAAGTAATTACGTAGCGCCCATTCCGTCTCTATTTTAACATAAGGGCTTTTTTTTATGCGGATCGCAGTGGAACGCGGTGGATCGCGATGAACATCGGTATTTTTTTATTCTGTTCCTCAGCGTGATCCAAGCGTTCCAGGTGGATCAGGGTGGAACGCTGGATCGCTCTTCCGAGGTGGGGGGAGCTCGCGATCCACTGTGATCCTAATCTAATGCGAGGAAGTTGCCGTCCCCAAAAAATCAAAACAATAACAAATCGAACCAAATTCCAAGTTTGGATTTTTTTATCGCTTGGAACACTTGGATCGGTCCGAATCGCTCAGGATTCCGATCCAGTGCATTCCACCGAGATCCACCCTGATCCGCGGTGATAAAAAAGCCCTATATGAAAACTTGATGTAAACACATCAAATAGTGAGGTTATGTTATGGACTTACACTGGTGGTGCAGCTACCGACTGTTAGATAATAAACCCTTAAATGCCATCCGGCTAACTTAGCTACGTCCATAGACACCAAGATCGTTGGAATCCGTGCCACCGTTTGCTCTGAATTCCATTCTATATCGAATCAATTTTCAGATGAAGTGAGTTGAAGGTGTGACTAAGAGTGTCGGCCACCCCTTTGTTATAGGGACTTTAGTAGGTCGTCATTTTCCTCGAACGGGGGTGGCTAACGCCACTCTTGATGTGAAAATATTGTGGTGTTGTTGGTTGTTGTGTCACAGAAGTATTCCATCTTCACCTAGTGAGTTTCTAGCATAATTACTCCAGTGAAACAGTGCACTCTGAAATTAATTGAGCGTTGGGTCTATGTATGGTTCGCGTGCCTACCTAGTTCTTAATGGAATAAATGTAATCGGGTGGATCAAAGCCAAAAAAGATTAGACCAATCGGTAGCGTTTATGGTCAAAAAGTTTGCGCCTAGGTACCAACTGCGGAACATGCTCTGATGAAGAGTTTTGGGGGTGGTGTTTCTAGTCCGACAGTGGACAACAAAATTACTAGGAATTCTTGAACTACCAGGTAACTGAGAGGTAGCCTTCATTATCTTTTATGAATCAAAAGACTCCATTCAAATTTAAATGCTTACTTCATGCCAGTTAGGTATACGATTCGACAAATTATGTGGTGAAGCAACTCTAAGCAAAATAAATCAAAAATTCTCCGCTAGCGTCAATATAGGTATACTGTAGCAAGAGTGGCGGTAGCCACTCGGGGGTAAGCTTACAGTGTAGTATTTGCAGCAAGTTTTTCTCTTTTTCAATTAATTTTCTGACTGAGGCCATTGTAACTTGAGGTTGAAATTAAGTCGATTATTACCTGAATCGCTCAAGTTCAACGGAATGCATAATAGGTATATGTACAATTTTCTTATCTTCATGTTTCAAGTCACATTCCTAGACGTTATACTCTGTTAAAAGAAAAAATACTTTTGTGGCCGATGGAGCTTGGCTTAACGCACACTTTTATTGATAAATTACTTAAATACCTCTTACAGGAAATACTTTTTATAATGAGTGAACCAAAAAAAAAAAAAGAATTAACTCTTTGAATGGACTTTCCACTTAGTGGTCTCACTGTTATTTAATTTAAAATTTTAGTGGCTGAATGTAAGTATGTCCAACAGTTGAGTTAAAAGCAGTAAAAATTGCAGAATTAATGTTGAAACTTTATGAGTAAGGAATAATTTATGCGGCAAAAGAAGTTCATTCTAAGTAGCCTACACTATGACAATTAATTGCTAATCCACCAGTTTTTAAAACATTATGTACCCTCTTTCGATGAGAGAAGTTTAAACTCACCAAAACATCAGGTAACTTTTATTGATTGCAAACTGAATCACCCCCTATTAATGTTTAGTTGATCAAACAAGGAGTTCCAGTTCTGCTCATTGAAAAAATTATTCTCAGTTTCTCTGTCTCCAGCCAAATGTTTCATTAGCTTCATTTTATTCCAAAAACCACCTGATATAAAAACTACAAAAAACCCCAAAAAACTTTCAGATTCTAAGGGGTAAAGAATTCGGCCAAAGTCTTAAACTTATTGAACCAAATTTTCTTATTACTCGTAAAAGAAAATTAAAAATTATACTTTACTGAAAATCGAATGTGGGCCCCTTCATAAACGAGTGATACAACATTCACTGCATGTGTGTATGTGAACCTCTTGTAGTTTTGTAGGAGCTCAAGCGGTTCGCTCGCTCTTTGCAACAAACGCTACATTCGTGAATGGAAAGTCCTTGAAGGAGCACATAACGTCCTTTTTCTTTCTTTAACTTTTGCATTTTTTATTCAGAATCTTCGTAAAATCAAAAAGAAAAGTATGGACTGATCTGAGCCTTATATGTGCTCTAAAACAATATGAAATATTTAATCGCACAAAGTTGAACTGTAGATCGAATGTAGCCCCTTCACTTATGAGTGATGCAACAGTCATGACGTGTAAGTATGTGTAGCCCTTGCAGGAGCCCCCTTCCTCACCTATTTGCATTTTTATCTAAAGTACAAAAAAAAAATCGGTATGGATTGATCTGAGCCTTCTGTGCTCCAAAATAATATGAAATATTTTATCGCACAAAGTCCAATATTTTTCGATTCAGGTCCTACAAATGCTTTTAAAAGAGCATGAAAAAAAAAATACTCAATCGGCTGGCGAAAGTCCAGTATTTTTCTTGAGAATAGTCTCCTCCTTCAATGAGTGATGCAATAATTGCGACATTTTTGTATGAAAAGCCCTTGCAGAAGCCTTTTTATTTGACTCAGCTAAATTTTGAAGAATCACTGACGTGTCCGCAAAAATGCGTTAAAAAGAAGGGTCACTGAAATTAATGCTTCATAGAGATATCTGAGGATCCATGTCAAAACCCTCTTACCTATTCTACTCTGCGTTAAAAATAAAAACGCTCTTTTCAACCATGATTATCTGGGTAATCCGGAGTCATTTTCATGATGATCAGTTCATTATGCAGTGGTATAGGATACAATGTTATAATAGCTACCATTTACATGCATATTAAACTGCAGCATCATAAGTTGAGATTAAAAATATTATACAATAAATAAGTTTTGGGAGAAAGCAAAGGAAGACTGATGCGCTTAAAAAATACACTGCAAGCAATCTTCCAGCATGCAGAGGGGACAAATACTAATGATTACAGTAAGAGCATTTTTGCCGACACGTCAGTGATTCTTCAAAATTTAGCTGAGTCAAAAAAAAAGGCTTCTGCAAGGGCTTTTCATACAAAAATGTCGCAATTATTGCATCACTCATTGAAGGAGGAGACTATTCTCAAGAAAAATACTGGACTTTCGCCAGCCGATTGAGTATTTTTTTTTTCATGCTCTTTTAAAAGCATTTGTAGGACCTGAATCGAAAAATATTGGACTTTGTGCGATAAAATATTTCATATTATTTTGGAGCACAGAAGGCTCAGATCAATCCATACCGATTTTTTTTTTGTACTTTAGATAAAAATGCAAATAGGTGAGGAAGGGGGCTCCTGCAAGGGCTACACATACTTACACGTCATGACTGTTGCATCACTCATAAGTGAAGGGGCTACATTCGATCTACAGTTCGACTTTGTGCGATAAAATATTTCATATTGTTTTAGAGCACATATAAGGCTCAGATCAGTCCATACTTTTCTTTTTGATTTTACGAAGATTCTGAATAAAAAATGCAAAAGTTAAAGAAAGAAAAAGGACGTTGTGTGCTCCTTCAAGGACTTTCCATTCACGAATGTAGCGTTTGTTGCAAAGAGCGAGCGAACCGCTTGGGCTCCTACAAAACTACAAGAGGTTCACATACACACATGCAGTGAATGTTGTATCACTCGTTTATGAAGGGGCCCACATTCGATTTTCAGTAAAGTATAATTTTTAATTTTCTTTTACGAGTAATAAGAAAATTTGGTTCAACAAGTTTAAGACTTTGGCCGGATTCTTTACCCCTTAGAATCTGAAAGTTTTTTGGGGTTTTTTGTAGTTTTGATAAACAATCGAGAGGTGGAAGAGTAAATTTGGCTGCATAGGGGAATTTTGTTTTGTTTTTTTTTTTTTTGGACTTTTCGTCCTCACATTTATGGTTTGTTGACAGAAATTCGGAAGGCACGTTGTCTTAATCTACTCACTCTAGGCTACTGATTCCTTTTTTGCTTTTTGAAAAATATTTATTTTTGTTATGTTAGGTGACAATTTTGTGCAGGAAAGTCGGGATGGAGTGAGCCCGCCAGTGCCGCTGGGGGTCATTCCGCCAGTGCCGCTGGGGGTCATTCTGCCAGTGGCAGCTGCATGTTATTTACCTATGACAATATGACTTACATATATTTTACGTGTAACTTCACATGTGCACTTGTCTTACATGTAGGTAGGTCATTTTGAAACCCACCAACTCTCTTTGAGTTTTAAATTTTTTTTTCTAAGAGAAAAATGAATTTTCAAAATCCTAAAATTTATTGGATCACCAAAATGAACTTTTACTTCCTATAGTCATATGATATTTTGTACTAACTCACCTAAGTTCTGACTCAAGATTTATTTGTTCTGTTTTATTTTTCTTGATTTAATGGTTTTTTCTAGCACCTCTTATGTCTTTATTTGCATATGGTGGACTGACCCTACGCGTGGGGTCACCCCACCATTTTTTTTTTTTAAATTAAAAATGAGGGAGGGGGAATGCACCTAAGTATCAAATTTTTTTTGTACATATTGGGAGGTCCTAAGATCACTCTTAGCATTCAAACAAGTTCATCCATCAATTAGAAAAATCAGGGAAAATCTTGTGGCGAAGCCTTCTACCCTATTTGTAGTAAAATGTGAAAAGTAGAGCTCCACTCTCTCGCAAATATCTTGGTTTCTTATGGTGCATTTGATTCAAATGTTTCCTTTAAGCCTAAAAGAAGCTTACAAACAAGTATATAAGTTGTATCAAAAGCTATATCCTGAAGACTCAAAGCCTCCCTCTTAAATCAGGATTGCCACAGTTAAGGAACAGGAAATCTCAGATAATTGTAAAGAGACAGAGAAAATGACAAAAGTGGCAGGGACAAATTGTTGAGTCACCTTTATTTGCTTTCTGGAATGGGCTTGACGTTTTGAACCACAGATTTTATCTGGAATCTACTTTAAAATAAGACTTGTTAATCATCTGACAGATCCATAATTGAATCAGTTGTTTTAAAAAAGGAATAGGTCCATTCCTCGATGAGTCTGAATTAGTATGTCCTTTTGTGCAAGCCAAGGATCATGCAAAAATACACTTGTTCCCTTTTGAAAACAATCGATTCGATTGTCAGGGAATTTTATCAAAATGGGATAGGGTAATCAGGGAATCTCATTTTCTCAATTCTGTAGCAACTCTGTTAAAAATGCCTTGGTCTGTTAAAAAATCGAGAGTATGGTCCTCAGAAATCTTGTCACCACTTTTCTGAATGCCTAGCTGTTTTCAATGTATAGGAAATAAAAAAAAAAACTTTTGTCTGGGTACGCCTTACTTTTATTCACTCATTCTTTTCCTCTGTAATATTTTTTGGCCTTACGCAATGTGTTTTGTTCCTTTCTTTTTCAGGGTTATCAAATCCTGATGTTTTCATCGCATGCGGTGGTGTTAAGGCTTTAATGTACAGTTTACCAACACAGTCATCTCCGCAAATAATTGAGTCAATGATTGGTGTACTGGTATTTTTAATGAACAAACCTGTCACCAGGAGTAAAGCAAAGATAGATTTTTTTTGTTTCGTTGCTTCCTTCATTGATCTTAAAACGGAGTAAGTAAATATGCCTTAATGTTACAAGTGATAAACTGGGCCTTAGTTTTACGACCTTCCTTGGTAATTATAACCGTCTAAGTAGCTACCACAAAAGATGGAATCACCGGACAGTCATTTCTATGAATTCAGTCAAGTTTTTATTTTAGTAGTTGTGTATTTTCATACAGTCTGGCCGAACATGCAAGAGTCAACCAGAAAGTGAGGTTACCTATTCAACATTGTTGTAGTTAATTAACCACGGTATACAGAAATGGTTTCTCAAAGAGGGCTTGTAAGATAGCAGTCGTTCGATTTCTCATGGTTTTAAATGCAACTTTGACAGCTTCCCGAGTATTTTTTCTCAATATTTTGTGGTTCCAGGGGTTGGCGTGTACTAGGAAATTTTTGTGCTTTTCAGTGTTTTTGCTTCACTGTTGCGTGGTTATCATTTTTACGTAAAGTGGAACTTTATAGAAATTGTGTGCTTTCGTAGAGCAAAGTGCTTATTGCAAGTAAAACCCCGATCACGTCCTAGGAGCGTCGAGAGGTACGTATGGTGTAATTATTCATGGAAATTTTGAAAAGCCCTGGACTCCAAGCTCATAGGGCTTGCGACGTCTTAGTCTGCGGATGCACCGGTCCCGTTCCAAGAGCTCGAGAGCTTCAGGGTTGGGATCAGAGATTTAGAGCTGAGGTTTGAGAGAGCATCATAATAAACGGAGCCGCATCGGCGCGCGAGGCGGAGGCCCGGCGCGGACTTTCATGCCGCGTCGATCAGTGCGCCGGGGGAGCGCATATGCCGTTGAGGCGGCTTCACCCGGTGAAGCCGACTCCCGGCTCCTTTTCTGATGCTGCATCAGTTTTGATGCTGAGTCCAGCATCAAAATTGAGGCGGCTTCAATTAGCAGACACGTCGGACGCCAGCGCCCCGAGCCCGGCTGCCGGTCGGCTAATTGCACCGGGCTGTGTTTTCAACCCTTCCTCGGCGTCCACTTCTTAGAACTTCTCGGCGAGGCGTGGGCCGCCGCCAAGACAGAGGGGTGCTCCGCGAATTCATCGCCGAGTCCGAGGGTCGCGGTCTTCTGGGACAGCCCCGTCGGTAATTAAGCTGGGTGGCGGGTCCGAAAATTGAGGCCGTATCGGGCCGCAAGCCGACGGTCCGGCCTCAGAGGCTGAGGCCCATGTTGGTCCCTGAGCCAGCATCAAACCTCAGCATCAGCGCTTGAGGCTGGCTCGGTCGGCTCTCCAGCATCGGGCTTCAATGCCCGAAGCCGGCGGCGGCAGGTTGAGCGCATCAGGCTCGGCGCCGCATGCCCGAACGGCCGCTACCTGGGCATACGGCATTGATGCTGAAGCTACGAGTCGATGCTGTACAGCATAACCTCATGAGGCGCCTCAAATGCCTGGTTGGGATGCGGATGCAGCCTATCCTCATATGCAGTGTACATCCTAGTGATGTACTTCTCTACTGATTCAATGTTGAGGTCCGTGCGAATATCTACATTCCTGTCATACCACCTTGCTTTAGCTATGCTCCTTAAAATTTTCATTTGCATGATTTTTATTTTATCTAAATTTGATTTGGCTGCGCAACCCCTCAATTGGCAACCATAACTCCAAACAGGCCTCAACATTGATTTGTAGAGGAGTAATTTGATGTTCAATGGTAACCGTAACTTTCGTCCAACAAGCCACTGCATATTGGAAAATTTCAGTTGCAATTGCGCAACTTTCTTTTTAATATGGGTGCCCCACTTGAGTCTGGAGTCCAGATGAAGTCTGAGATATTTGGCAACTGAGTCGTGCGGAATTTTATCATTTCCTAGGGAAAGCGGGATTTGATTATATGGACGATTTGTTAAAATTACTTCTACTGATTTTGTAGCATTTAGTTTAGTTTTATCTCTCAAAGTCCTCTTATTGATTTTATTCAAGTGTTATTGAGCTTTATGACGTGCCTCTCTTTAGCTCCTGGACGAAGCCATCACGAGAGTATCATCAGCATAAACTCCCAGTTTTCCCCTTTTCCCAGACTGTGGGATGTCTGTGGTAAAGAGAGAGTAGAGAAGAGGGTTCCTGTCTTTCCTGTAGAACTCCTGCTCGAATTGGTCTGAATCCTGAATTTGTATTTTCATACCTGACTCTAAATTGTCTTCCGGTAAGAAAAGACGATAGGAGCTCCACATGGTTACATGGGAGCATGTAGTAAAGCTTATCAACGAGACGCTCGTGCCAGACACGATCGAACGCTTGTGTTACATCAAGGAAAACAGACACACAGTATTCACCTTTTTCCGAAGCATCTTCTATAAATTTTGTAAAACGGTGCAACTGGTCTACCGTAGAGTGTTGAGCCCTGAAGCCGAATTGGGCATCAATGATTAAATTATTTTGTTTAACAATTTTGTAGTGTTAAAGATATAAAAGAAACGATCGAGCATAAGCGGTCGAAGAAAGTTGAGAGGCAATAGTGAAAAGCTGTAGGCAAAGTACATGCCATTGGACTCCTTCATCATCTCAGTTGAATAGACGTAAACGGAACACGCGCAGACGCGGTCGAACAAGAGTTATTATTCCTTGGTCTTGGACGAGGCTTTGAAATCCTGGAGGTTGAGCGAATTGTCGCCGGCCATTGAATCAACTCTAATTCACTGATTTTAAGAGAATGCTTCACTCCTGGATAGTTAACTCAAGATTTCAATTTCATCGGAAAGGAGACCGTTCTGAGATCCTGATTTTAACCGTACGCGTTTTATAACCTTTCACCTCTCCGAAGGGGTTGATAACGCGCTATGCGTTCTGATCCCCGTTCAGATTTCAATACGGAGGGAATTACCAGTACAGTTGCCTCCTGATTCGTGAGGCTAAGGCAACTCGGATACGAGCTATTACGATCTCTGTTTTAAATCCCCCAAACGCTGCATTAGATTTGTATCGAGAAAAAAAAAGCGACTTGGATCAGAACAATAAAAGCTCTGACTTTTTTGTCCCTACAGAAATTCTCAAACAACCATTACCTCAAGCTGTTGGTGCCTTTTATCTCTCCTGCGATCATGGCCTGGCGTTCTTCATTTATGCAATCCAAATAATCGAGGTCTAGTTTCCTACGTAGCTGCTCTTCGTCTGAATCAAGATGATGTCAGAGTAAGTGAATCTCTGAACTAAAGTTTTACAAACATTTATTGACTGCATTTGTTGATTTTTTCATTGAATCTCAGTGGCTCTTTAAAGTTGGACAATGAGATTTTGGCACCCAGTTAAAGAGGAAAATAAAACCCACAAAAATTTTTAAAGAGGACTGCGGGCTCCGCTAATGTTAAAAAAAAAAAAAATGTAGACAAGAGAGCTTAAAAATCGATGATGGTTTTGAAGTGTGGTTCCACCTGTTTCGGTGTCTTAATTTTACGTACAGAGTGACATTAAAGTGTGAATACTTGTAAATATCTTAAGATTTGCTAAGATAGTAACATGGAGTCTAGATGAGGTTTTTTCAAGCATGAAAGTGAGCATTTTTATTGAGAGCAGTCTGCCCCTTGCCCCTCAGAACTGAAGAGAAAGTGGCAGTTTGAGACTTGTAAATGAGAGCCCCTTCAGAGTGATACCTACTTGGAAGAACATGAAAAATGAAAACTTTCGACAGATATTAGGAATTGAGCACCTTTGAATGTTTTAAAGTAACGGCTGATTAAAGTTCAAGGAGGCAAAAATTTGGAACCTTAATCATTTACTGAAGAATTAGTATGAATCTCAATTTCTGAAGGTTTTTCATTAGGAGAAAAAAATGAATCAAGCATCCCAATTCAAAAATACGGAATCATTTTCAAGACTGTGGCCAAAGACATGGATGGAAGTTGAGTTTCTGATGATTTACTGACAAATTAGACACCTGTGAAGAAAGCAAATGTGTTTTTTTCATTTGAAATTACACTACTGCATCAAGGGGTCTCAATAGAAAGGGTGCATAACAGAGGAAGGTGAGCATTTCAGCTTAGATCTGGCTTCAGGATTCAGCTGGATTCAACTTTGAACTGACAAAAAAGGATTGTCCTTGGTCAAGAAAACTTTGTAAAGTTGAGATTTCCTCGCTGCTGCCGTATTAAGGATTCAATATTAAATGCCTGGGAGAAATAGCAGAAGCGTAAGTCTACGATCACGTCCTAAAAAGATTTGCAAAAAATTAATCGGTCATTTCATTCCTGAAATATTACAAAGACCCCACTATCGTTAGGAAAAGCACATTTTGTTGCAGAGCTCAAATTGACACCTGAGATCAACGCCAAAAAAGTTTAAAACCCTTGTCTTGACCATGAAGTATGTGTTAAAATTTAGTTTACTTAGAATACCATTAGCCTTAAATTCTTCTAATGCTAGTCATAAAAAACATTTATTTTGTTTTCATTTTTCTTTTTCAATTTGTAGAGAGCTGTGCTAGATTTGACATTTGACTTGCTAAACTTGGAGCAGCCTAAGTGGACTGATAGCATATCTGTGGCTTTAGAGTCTGTAAATCCCTCAACTTTTAAGGACTCATATAAAGTAACTGAGGAATTCGTAACAGCTGAAGGAAAGTCTAATCTGCCCAGTTTAACCAAATCTAGGTTTGTAATTCTTCTGCTTTAGCATTAATACCGCTATTACCCTCCCTTTTTAATGTTGTTTCTCACTTAGGCAGTTATGTCAAAAATTTCATTTGATTCAAGCACAGGAAAATAACAGAGTGATAATGTTTCTATATATGTACTATGTTGTAGCAAACTGCACAATTTTTAACACTTTATCGGCACTATGAACACTTACTTTCTGTACCAATTAAACTTTTTCGAAAACAGATTATAGTTAGATGACTTACTTTTTTATTATTCTGTACGCACAATGGCCATTTCGGGCAAGCCGCCCATCTTCAGGTGACTGAACTGGTATGGAAAAGTTAAAAATTCGGCGTGAAGATAGCATGAAGAACTGGAAGAAACAGAAATATTTGAGTTGACTGAACTCGGTAATTGTTGAGTATTAAAATCTGGAAACGCTGAGGTATTTGAGTCTGCTGGACTTTGTTCTGGTCCACTATTAAAACCTGAGAACTCACAGGTATCGGGACTCAAGGAAGACAAATTAAACTCGGTTTCAATCACTGTTTTATTTAAACTGTGGTTTATGATAGTCATATCATTTTTACTCTCATTAGAGACACTGTCATCTCCTAACTGACCATTTATTCCAGAAGTTTGAGTGAGAATATGATCCTCTGACTCCTGAGGGTGACTGTGCAGAATGTCAGACTTCTCTATTTGAAATTCTGAGTCAGGGTCACTTAATCTACAGGCTCTGACAAAGAGTGTTGCTCAGTAGTAATAATGGGCAAATTGGAATAATCATTTTTGATGATACCATGAGGGGTGAAGATCAAGAACATCGAAGGATCATTTTTTTCTTCCGTTGTTCTTTTCCTTGAAAAGGACCCCGCACACCTCTTATGGAAAGCTGCACCATGACGGATTGCCTTCCGACTTATGTCATTCGATTCTCCTCAAGATGGTGATCAAAAGTTATATGTGCGCCAACTTTCTACGCTGCACCGTTTTTGCAAAAAACCCAAGTGAAGATTCAATTATTCGGCGATAAAGAGCCAGAAAGAATCCTCATTTCAGTACTCAAGTTAACAAATCAGGGGAACTCCCGCACTGAGCGGCAGTCTTATCTCGGATTCCGCTCGCCGTTTTGCTCGACCATCCAAATCAGATTCTTGAGGAGCATAAGAACAGGAAAGTCTGAACGTCTACCGGGCGAGTGCTGGAGGGAGATAGCCCCTGAGTCGGCAGGTACAGATAAGAAGATGGACACACGCTACGCTTCTTCCTTATTTACATCGGGCCTGTCCTCAAATGCTTTGTTCTTTTTTATTCATAGTCTTGATAATTGAATCTTCACTTAGGTTTTTTGCGAAAACGGTGCATCGTAGAAAGTTGGCGCACATATAACTTTTGATCAGCATCTTGAGGAGAATCGAATGACATAAGTCAGAGGGCAATCCGTCATGGTGCAGCTTCTCATAAGAGGTGTTCGGGGTCCTTTATAGTTTCTCAAATTAAAATTAAGATACTTCCTCTAGATGTTTTAACTATAAAGAACTGTGGGAAATTTGCTAATTTTTCAACAATTATTGCTGGATGCCACTGTCCATTTTATTGGAGAAGCCTGTCTTTTTCGCTGACATAGAATTTCTAATCAATTTTGCAGTTCTGATCATAATGACTTTCAACTTTTACTGTGATCCTTGCGTTTTTCTTCAACATGAACTAACTTCGGTTGAAATTGTTTAATACTGATAGGAATATGTGTTCTAAGGACTCGACCTGTTAGCATTTGAGAGGGTGAGGCTTGTTGATAAACGTTAAGCGTTGAATCATATTCTTAAACTGCCAGATCAATATCTCCTTTGGTATTGAGATTCTTCCTTAGTATGGTTTTTACCTGCTTTACAGCTGATTCTACTATTCTGTTGGATTACAGATAATGTGGGCTAGGTGGTACAATTGTGAGGTTGTAAATCCTTGCAGAAGCTTTAAGTTCTGTAGAGTTGAAAGGTTGATTATCTGCTACCACCTGAGTCGGAATTCCATGTGTGCCAAAAGCACTTTTTAGCTCCTTTATTACATCGCCAGCCTTTTTTTAATTTTTAATTTCTCTCATCTCAAGCCATTTGGAGAAATAATCAGTGACAACTAGGTAGTTTTTCCTATTTGAGTGTCCTTGCCCATTTTGGTTTCTTTTTTCTTTTCCAGAATTAACTTAATTGAAACGCACAGTGCCCTCCTGCTGTATTGTCTTCTAAAAGCTGGTCTGTTGGATGCGCTCATTGAAATCATCATAGCTCCTGATCCTTTTTTATCAATCAGAGCTACTATTTTGTTAGGTAATTTGTCAATTCATTTTTTTTCATCTTGTTGATTTTACGGTCTTTACTTCAATGAGGCCCTCAACCAAAAATAGACAAAGAGTTTTATGAAGGGATTTGAAGGATCATCAGTAGGTGGATGAATTCAAATAAGCGTCTAATCTGGTGCCCCCAGCTGTTTTGATCGTCATAATCTGAGAAACATGGGCAGATCAAATTTTTTTCTCATTTTCCACACTATTGTTAACTATTACATGCTATTTTCCACTTTATTTGGACTCAAATAAAAATTTAGGAGAACTTTGAATGTGCAAATTGCCTACATTTGTCCCAAATTTGCGTGTCCCCCTAGGGTGGCTCAAATTTGGCAATGTCGGAATTTTTTCGGTCTTACCCCCTAGAACTGATCCATTTGATCAAAAAACACACAAGTTTCAGCCAAATCGGATAACATTAACCCGTGCCGACAGCACGGGCACGGCAACAACAGGCTTAATGTCAACGTCATCAAACTTCATTGACCTCATTTAAATCGTCAAATTATTTTCCTCTGCGCACCTTATTTTTCTTTACATGATTTGCTCCCTGCACATGAGTTTTTGAGCAAAATTCAACTTTTATAAATGAAAATGTACTGCAAGGGTACATACAAGTCAAAAAGCTGATGCATAAATACATTCCCCCTCTCCTTCTCTCCTGAAAATTTTGGGAGAAAAAGTTTAAGTATACAACGTGTCTACAAGTCTAAAATTTCCGGAAAGTCTGGGAATAGTACTGTTTTTTCAAGGGCGGTCCAGAAGTGTTGAAAAAGTGCGGAAATTTCCCAAGAAAGTCGGGAATTTTTTTTATTTTTGTGTCATTTTCTTAGCAATTTGAGTGACAATTTCAAATTTTCGAATTTCGTCAATTGGAGGCACTGAAAAAGTACTGAATTTTTCTGTTGAGGAGGTACTGAATTTCATGGGAACGTACTGAAAAAGTAGTGTGAAAGTGCTGATTTTTGGCCAGCCTGTTTTAGTAGACATTCCGGTATAAGAAACCAATACTTAAAGTTTGAAGAACATCCAGGAGGGAGGCAGAGTTTTTTTTTTGCATTAAGCTTTTCTTCTCTGTCACTCAAGTATCCGTAAACAGCTTAAGCTCAAATTTGGAACAATCGAGGAATTTTTCTTTGTCGCTCAAAATCTAACTTTTAATTTTTATTTTTTGCAGGTGAAATTTTGCATCTAGCACATTTTCTGCTACCTCCAGAATGTTGCAACTTATCTCCTGCTTTACCAAATCTAATATCTTATGCTGTTCGTGGACACCCTGTCATTTCATTACCCAGTCATTTCGGCATGAGATCAATGGAAACTTTAATAGTGGCTGACAATGAAGTAAAAGGAGCAATGAACCACACTCAGTTCTCAACACCTATAGAAAATCACAAGCACAGCCCTACTACGGCCCATGAAAAGCAACCTACCTCTGAAGTTTCTATAAATACATCACAGCTCTTAATGGATGGGTCCCTCAGTTTTGACCCTGAATACACGAACATATCCAATATGAGAAAAGAGGTGATAGGAATGTTGCGTGATGGGAGTCAGATACCATTCTTAGTTGACCAGTTCTGCAATTATAATGTCAAAGATAATGGAGGCTTGAAGAGTCATGCCCATAAGGAATACGATTTTAATTTATTCACCAATTACTTTAAGTCAGAATCTCGAGCGTGTCTTCACTCACAGCAAAGAGCAATGTCAGCAGTATCAGCACTGACAAATCTGCATAATCTAATGCAGAAAAAACCTGCTCCAACGACAGTATATCTGGAACATATAATAACAAATGTAGAAGAAAAAAGCACGTTAAGCCTAGATGCCATAGCGAAACTAAAATGTAAACGAAGCTCTAGTAAAAACAGAGTTCAGCTAGCTCTTCTTAAAGAGTGTGATGAACAGATTCGAGTATCAGAGGTACTCACACAGAAAAATCCTTTCTCTTGGAATTGGAATATGATACAAGCTGTTTTGAAGCTGAGGCTAAATTTCGGATTAGATGACTTAGATCACTCAAATTTTATCAAGAATTTAATTCAATTTTTAAAACCATCAAACAAGAATTTCAGCCGACCAGAGTTCTTTAAGCAAGCGAACTTATATGTGTTTTCATGTTGTGATCTGCTGGACTTTCTTTGTGAAACAGAAAGTCAGGAAGCTGACTTGTTTCTAAATGATTTTTTGAATGACGTTAACAAATACTTAGAAGAACTCATTAATGCCAAATCCGTTCATGAGTGCTTCTTCAATCCTCGACAAATAACCACCTCCTCTTATCATTATTATTTTCTGTTTTTGGGACATTTAAGTAGGTCTATCAAAGGTAGAACTCATTTTGAAAGACTGAGAGTCTTTGATCACTTAGGTAAAATTGCTTTATCTATAAATCATGAAATTTACATCAAACTGGTCATCTCCACTTTAGATTACTCTACTGACTCGCCAGCACGACAGATTTTAGGTCAAGTATTATCCAGTCCAAAAGTGTCTGCTAGACTTTACACAACTAAATATTTACACATTTTGCTAAGAACTCAACTGAATGTGAAAGAAAATTTAACAAAATGGGTAATAGAAACCTTAGTAAATCAGTTGTACGACGAAAGCAAAGCTGTTTCAATTGTAGCGATCAATGCGTTGAACGAAGCATGCGATTATAGGCCTTACCTGGAAAAAATAATTGAGATAAAACCATCTCTTTTACATCTGGGAGACAAAGGATTACTGTTACTGATTAGATTTTTATCACTTCCTGAAGGTTTCAAGTATTTACAAGACGCTAATTTTGTTAGTAACGAACTGACACGATGGGCAAATCATTTCAATTTCAAGTATGTTAGGATTGTTGAAAGTGAATTACAAGAGGCAGTTAGCCAGCAGCAACGAGATGAAGAAGGAAGATCAGTTAAATATAACACTGGCAGCAAACACCAAATACCAGATGTTTTTGTCCCACCGCACTTGTATTCACAACTTGTACAACATGAGGAAGGCTTTAAACTGCTTCTATCAGAACCAGGATTCAATGCACTCATTCCCATTCTGTTAGAAGGCAAATGTGATGCAGATGATGAAATACTCCATTTAAAAGCATCAGTCTGGGCTTTAGGCCACTTCGGAACGTCTACTCAAGGTGCCAAATATTTATTTGATCATGGTGCTGTCATTGCATTGAAGAAATTATTTTTGAATGCACCTGTTTATACTGTTCGTGCTACTGCATATTATGCCATGTCAATGCTCGCAACTAATAGGTCAGGTGTTGCTGCCCTTCACAGTGTAGGATGGGAATGTGTGCGCCATGGTAGGAATGATCAGTGGCCTCTTGTTTCTCCGCCTCCTCACTCTGTATTTTCACCTGTATTAAGTCCATTATCGCCGGAACAGGGGTCATTGGAGGATTCAAAGTCTCCAGAAGACAATACTCTGGTCGGAACCATCTCCTGGAATCATTTTGGGAGGTGCTCATCCTCTCAAAAGGCAGCAACTCTCCCTGGCTCAACTAGTCATCACCTTTCTGTTTTGAAAAACGTTCACGTCAGGAGTCCAAGTGAAAGTAAAGCAGACAATTGTGAAGAATTATTGGTATTAAAACAAATCTATCATGAAAGTGCGGAAAGAATGACAGACGGACAAGCAGAGTCTGATGTAAAACTGCAATTAAACAGTGTTTGCACAAACCCGAGTACCAATAGCTCATGTGATTCCTCCAGCAGTAAAGAACATAGTATGGAACATGCTCAAAAAGTTGCTCCAAATGTAAGCTCTAGTCATCTTGAATCGTTTAGATCATTAAAATCATCAGTACCTCACCTGACTTTTGATCAGATTAAATCAAGTCGAAGAGTACACCATCAAAACATTTTGGGCTATAACACGCTGAAATTGTTGAACTGGCACAGGAGACCTCACTTGATTTCTCCCTCTTCGACCACAGCTGCTGTAGAGCTCTTCTCAATCCAAGATTTGAAACAGATGTCTCCTCTTGTTCGCCCAAAACTGTCATCGAAACATACTCCAAAGATAATACTTGAATCTGATGAGTTTTATCCATTAAATAAAATAGATTCTCTGCCAGCTGTGAGTTACCCAAGTAGTAGTGTAAATTTGCCGTTTCACTTCTCTGATGGTAAGTGAATTTTTCATCATATCATCACCAACTATGTTTTAGTATGATAGAATTTAATAGGAAGAGAAAAGATTTCATTACTTGCTCAACATAATTCTGAAAGTCGGAAAATGAATCCAAGACTTTTTTGAAATATTGAAAATATTTCAATTATGGTTCATCACAATATTCAATTGTGGTTGAGGCGGAGTTAGAGTGGTCCAAGTTAACATGGGGAAATTTTTTTTTGGCCCAATGAACCGCGACTCCCCCTAAATTTGTTCCTCACCATCCAAGTATGATACCTGCCAAATATTTTCGTTCTGTGATAATATTAACACGTGCCGACTTGAGGCTGAAAATCTCCCAAAAAATTAGATTGATTTAAATGGGGCGAAAATGGGCCGATCCGCGGTATTTCGTTTTTCGGCTGTAAAATGCGCCAAAATGCAAATAACTTGCTCTTAACTTACGAAGATACCTAGAGGCCTATTGTGATTGAGAAAATCACACACTCGACCCATTGGGAGGGGGGGAAGGGGTCACAGCGGAGCCGATTCCTAGGCCCCGCGGCTCTGCGCGAGGCTCCATGCGCCAAACTAATAAGAGAGGAACGCGCTCGCATTTTCGGGCTCCCTGCTCCCTGATACGCATTGCCGTACTGCAAATTACATGATGTTATTTCTAGAGTTTGAAAAGCAAATCAAGTGACCTGCTGATAAGCATATTGCAACAATGGTTTGCTGGTAAAACTGCTGAGTTTTGCAGAAAATCTCATGTTTTCTGGGAGCGGAGTGCATTTGGCAGTCAGAGTCTGTCCGCCGATCGATCATCGATGCTTTCATGATATGTTTGTAAAACTATGGCTCTTTCAAAGCCAACTTTGCGAAAAGAACGAAACGTGTATCTACTCGGCAATTACTCCCCCGTAATTGAAGGGAGCAAACTCCCGTCAAAGAAACAAGTTTTACGCGTATTTTTCTTCAATTTACGAGAAGTTCAGTTAAGTTTACGCGACAGTGAAGACCTGGTGGTCCAGGAAGTTATCATTTTCTGGAACAAAGCGAGAATTCCAGTTCATTACAATTCTCGTTGTGTTAAAAAAGTGGAGGATCCTCATGAACAATCGAGGTACTTGCAGAAAATGCGAATAAGTGCCGAGATGTCTTTTCAGAACGTGAAAAATCTTTCGTCGATGAACTAAACGATTATCAGAGAGTAAAATAAGACGTGGCCGGCGTCGTTTTTGGATCAAATGGAACTAATTTAGGGAGCGACGCGGTTCATTTCCCGAAGTTGCCCGGAGCGTATCACACTAGTGCATGATGCTTTACGCGGCGCCCCAGCGCCTATGAATCGGCTCCGCTGTGACCCCCTCCCCCCACCCAATGGGTCGAATGTGTGATTTTCTCATTCACAATAGGCCTCTAGGTATCATCGTAAGGTAAGAGCAAGTTATTTGCATTTTGGCGCATTTTACAGCCGAAAAACGAAATACCGCGGATCGGCCCATTTTCGCCCCATTTATATCAATGTAATATTTTGGGAGATTTTCAGCCTCAAGTCGGCACGTGTTAATATTATCAGAGAACGAAAATATTTGGCAGGTATCATACTTGGATGGTAAGGAACAAATTTAGGGGGAGTCACGGTTCATTTTCCGAAGTTGCCCAGTTTGGACCACCCTAAGGCGGAGTTGTTATTTTCAATCAAAAGAATGTTGTATCCCTATCTGCTCGAACCTGTAGTATATTTCTTTTGTTTTTGATGCTTCACAAGGAACCGAATTTTATTCACTTCTTCAACACTAGTTTTGTGTCGAATACTCCATGTTTATGTTTTAGTTTAGCCTCACTATCAAGATCTTATCGTTTTTATTTTTCAAGGATTCGCACAAACTGTCGAACGCATAATCAATCACATGCAACTGTTCAGTGTAACTTTTCAACTGATTATTTGATGCAATTTCACTTGAATTTACGATTGTTTTGGATGCCAGATTCAGGTGGCATGGCATGGCAGTTATTCATAAGGGTCAAGCAGTTAGGATAAAGCCCCCTCACGGTAGATTAATTCATCTCAAATCTTCCTACTATGGAAAATCCGTATTAGCCAGTTACGCTATATGTTGCGCCTTAAGCGGATGGAACGCAACCATATATGCTGATGTTAAACACTATAATATACTTATTATTATGTTCACAATATTACCTAAATGAAACTGCTACGTCTTAATTCGCAGGGCGTACTTTTTGGATTAAGCGCTGTAAGCAACCGGAATATTTGCTTTTGATAGAGGCAAATTCTTCAAAGGTTCACACTGGGGGGAGGGGAAGGGGGCTGTTACATAATTTAGGTATCTTGGGCAGAGAAATGCTGGATTTAAAGCCGTACAGAATAAACCAACAATTATACACTTTTGAATTTTTCTTAAAACGAGGGACGTCCCAATGTACGCTGGCCCAGGGTGCAGGGGGGGGTTCTGTCCTTTTCAGAAGAAATTCAATGAATTACGCAAATCTGCGGCTATACACAGGCAAATATGGCTGCTCATCATTCTCAAAACATTACTTGAACACGCCATATGTTTACTTTTTTGGCAAAATGCGGCAAATTGCTAAACAGCTTACGCTAAGTTCAATTTTCATCTCCTTGAAGTGGGTAACTTTAGAGATACGAGGTAGCCTTCAGCTTTGAGATAATTTAAATTATTATCAGTGAAAAATGTTCCACAGAGTCTCAATAATAAGTTTCAAGTATGAAAATTTTCATGAGGTAACCTTACAACAAAATACAATGGTCGAATAGAAAATATTTTGATTGAATGGAACCTGCTCGTGCTGTCTGGCCTTTTCGGACAAAAATCGATGATTTTTGCAAATCTGCAGTTATCCGCAGGCAATTATGGCTGATATTCAATCTCAATAGTCTACTTGAACACGCCATATGCTTACTTTTTCCAAGAAATGCAGAGAAATTTTTAAAAGCTTGCTAAAAGTTCAATTTTTATCTTTTCGAAGTGGGTAACTTTAGGGGAGCGTTCAGATTTCAGATAATTTGACTCATTACTAGTGAAAAATGTTCTTCTGAGTTGCAACAAAAAATTTCAAGCATCCAAATTTACATGGGTTAACCTCACAATAAAATACAAGGGTCAAAAAGATTTTTACAGAGAGTGACAATTTCAGGAGCAGCAGAATGTGCCACATTTGAGGAGCTCTAGGAAAAAATTGGGGCAAAAAAACTGAAAATAAATGCCAGATTCGTACAGTATGAGGAACACTTCATGCCCACTCTGAATCCAAAATTAGCGACACCCGCATGTCGGACCTTTTGCCCTTTTCGGTCCAGTGTGTGCCATCTTAAACTTAAAGAAGAATAACTCATAACTGTATTTTACTTTATTATTTTCATCACGTAAGTTTGTACAGCCTTAGTATAAGTACTATTTTGCACACTGAGAGAGGAAATTTACAGTTCAAAGGACCTTATCACAGCTGAGATTTTCTTTCAATCGGATTATTTAAAGAGCAGAAAGCATTTACATGGGAATATTGTCGTCTAAACCTTGGAAATTACGTATTTCAGTTCTCAACGATGTAGACTTCTTGCCATTGTTTATTCTTTTGTGAGAAAGTAATGCAGCGTATTGTCGACAAAGGCATTCTTTTTAAAGATTCAAGCTGTGAATTTTACTTGTCAACTTTCCGACAGCATAGTGGAAATTTTATAATAATGCGTTGAATATATGAGTGGATTTCAGCGAACAGGAGAAAATTTGGGAAATTCATGTCACCAGCCGCTGAAATCTTGTAATTATGATCTTTTCTTTCGATGTTTGATTTTTTGGGTAGAGGTTAGTCACACTAGCCACGAAAAAACTCCACAGGAGATTTAAATAACTCCAAAACTTTTTTTCAATGCGTTAAACTGAGGAAATGTCAGTCTGGTGACGCGCAGCTGGGGGTAGTCAATGTCTCAAATTGTTATGTAAATAAACCAGGACCTTTTGCAAGCTTTGTATGATTTTATTTGAAGTCTTGATTGTATATTGTGTGTTGTAATATGCATTGAAACACCAGAAAGTAATATTATTCTATTTAAGGAGTACTTGCAAAACAGGCCATTTGGGGCTCGGGGTGGATACCTCTGAGACTTGCCCTATTTATTCACCAAACAATGCCCCATCTTATCCCAAAGTTTCAAGCCCCCCAAAAATTTCGGGGAGACGCACCGGGGGATCAAAAACGCAGTTTAAACGAGCGTTTTCAGCGTGATGAGAGCTTTCAGAAAATGTGTAACATCATAGGGTTTAGTCGACTTCAGCTCGAGTTATTGCTTCTGAAGCGGCAGAATACTAAAAGAAGACCCCATTTTTTTCACGTCTGGGCCGATTAAAAAAAAAGCCATTTTTTTATTTTGATGAAAAACTGATATTTTGTTCCTGACTCTCTGTAGGCCCTCTAGCTTTTTACCGCATGCTGGGGAAATGTTTTGGTCGCGAGTTAGAAGAGCGGAAAGGAGCGAAGGTCGGGAAAGTCGGCTACTTTCAACAATGCAACTTCGGCCGGGAGTGTGATTCGCAGAACTGAGTGGGAGGGGACCACCAATCAACGCCGCGCGCGCAGTTTAAAGTAGCCGATTTTCCCGACCCTCGCTCCTTTCCGCTCTTCTAACTCGCGACCAAAACATTTCCCCAGCATGCGGTAAAAAGCTAGAGGGCCTACAGAGAGTCAGGAACAACATATCAGTTCTTCATCAAAATAAAAAAATGGCTTTTTTTTAAATCGGCGCGGACGTGAAAAAAAAATGGAGTCTTCTTTTAGTGTCCCGCCGCTTCGGAGGCGATAACTCGAGCTGAAGTCGACTAATAACCCTATGACGTTATACATTTTCTGGAAGCTCTCGTCACGCTGGAAACGATCGTTTAAACCGCGTTTTTAAAAAATTCTGGGTTTTCGAGTAACAAATTCGCGAAAATGTTACTGATTTTTAACTTTGACACCCCCCCCCCTAAGTCTCCCCAAAATATTTGGGGGGCTCGAAACTTTGGGAAAAGATGGGGTATTGTTTGGTGAATGAATAGGGCAAGTCTCAAAGTTATCCGCCCCGAGCCCCAAAAGACCCGTTTTGCATATACCCGTTAGATGCTAATATCCGGTTAGCATGGTGACGCTTCCAGTTTTAGTTTGTGGCCACTCAGAATACAGTGCCACAGTGCAGATTGGGGTGTAAATTGAACGTATTTCTATCAAACGGAACTATGTGCATTATGACGTGAGCCCTGTTATGCACATATGCTCATGGGTCTCAGGGCTCATGTCTTAATGCACATAGTTCCGTTTGACAGAAATACATCCAATTAGTGCTGGAGGATTAATGGAGTCGATAAGGTCTTGGTACATTGGCGTATGTTCCTCGTATTAATCATGATCGCGGTCAAACCCCTAATTTTTGGAGAGTCCCCTTCATTCATTGTCATTCTTGTGACGCTGTTTTCCCTCAAAACGTTTTGTGGAATATGTGATTGAATATTTTTTTCTTACAGCTGCAGATGCACTTTCAACCTATCCTCAATGTTTTGTTTTATTTTGTCACTGTAAATTTTTTAAGGTCTCCCGCCCCCAACTCTGATTTAATTTGGCCGAAAATAAAGGTTTTTGGGAGCGATGGCTCCCCGGTGACACCTAGCGGTAAAATTTTAAACTCGGGTTACTCAAGTAGTTCTGTAGTGTCACCAGAGAGCGCAGCACAGGTTTCCATGGCCATTATTTACATTGTTTCCGAGCGTTGAGGGAGATGGAAATTTTGTCGAGCACAGCTCGACACCTGAGCGGAACCCCTGAATCAATTTTGTCGAGTCCTGCTGGACACCTGAGTGGAAAGGCTAAAATAAATTAAATTTTGAAAAGAAAATTTCAAAATGAAAATGTCATGTACATAAATTCTTTATATGACTGAAAATAAATGCGCTAGAGCGCGCTAAAGAATCCATCAAAGTTCCAATTTTGCGCTCCTTGCGCGTTTTGCGTGAATAACTTTTCTCAGAGCAATACTACGGGAAAAGACTTCATTATTGAACTTATAGAGTAGGTAGAGGTACTTTTCATGGAAGGTATTTTGTTTAATTTTGAATATCATCGAAGAGTTTTTGAAGTCGCATCATATAAAAATATGAACCGATCATCGATTGCATCTCGGGGCCTTTTAATCATTACATATCACTAATCCTTGTCCTTTGGAGGACGAGTCGAAAAACATGAATTTTCAAATTTCAAAATTATTAAGAGTTAAAGTTACGTCTTGACACCAAACTGATGTGCGCCGTAGCACTCTTCGGGGAAATGAAAAAAAATTATCGGGTAATGCGTTTACAGTTTGAGTCAATAAAACATCACATAATTCAAGCTGTTTTTGCATATTTCACTGCACTTTTTGAACATGGTAAAAATTGGCTAAATCCCTCATTTTTGGAATCGTAACTCACGCTCAGTACAACTTTTAGGGTCATCTTTTTGCTGCCTTGCCAAGTCTTTCAAATCAGTTAATGAAAATCGCTGAAAAGTCGTTAAAAATCGTTTTTTCATACCCTAGTTTGGGCACCTCGGAGTCACAAATACTTCCTTTCACAAAATAGTTCTAACTCTCCTTATCTGCCCCAAGAGGAGTCCCTGATTTTCATCACTTGTTTTGAATGATTTTGCAAAGCAGCAAAAATGTGTTTCTCGTCTTTCAGAGACTCTTCTTTTAATAGATTAAAAGAGTGTATAAGAATCATCCTGCCAAAAGATGTATTTGTGCCTCTAAGGAGTTTCCAGTAGGGTAGAAAATCACGATTCTTATAAAAATATCAGCAATTCTCGCCAAATTTTTTCGAGTAACTCGCCAAGCACGCAAAAATAGAGCCTTGAATTTTCGAAGAATCTTTTTATAGTAGATGAAGAGTTTTAGGTTAAAAATTGAGTTGAAAATCTAGAGTGTTCAGTAAAGTCGTCAAAAATCGTGTTTTCCTACTTTGACACTGGCTCCCTCGCAGGAACAAAAACATCCTTTGGCAAAATAATTTTTTACTCTCTGTATCTGTACTATGAAAAGAATCTTCGAAAATTAAAGGCCCAATTTTTTTAAAACTTACCCTGTTCTAAGAAAAAACAGCAGAAATCTCAAAGATTTCCACCAGATCGGCCAAAATATGATCTCATCATGGACAATGGAGAAAAATCCCCTCACATCCTAAAAGCTAGTAGTTTATCGTAATTGCTTATAAAAATCGTCCCTAAAACCCAGTAATTGATTTCATGCGTGTTGACTAAATCTTTCAATACATTTCAATATACCAGTCACTCTTAACCGCAACCATGCTTGTAGCCTTTTTAGGGGCGTGTATAGGGGGCCTAAATAGCTTTCTTTGTCAGAAATTGCCTTTTTTACTTCTTCTCATTCTTATTTCATTCTACCAAAGCCTGAACATCATTCAGGTCTTTGGAAAATTATATAAGGCATGGTATTTTTGCAGGATTGCAATTTATCGGAAAACTAGTGAAAAATCGGTATTATTCAAAAGTTGAACCCATTTGAGCATTGGGTTGAATATATCTAAATTTGACTAAATTTTGAGGAACCTATTCATTTAAATTTATGGAATGGTTCAAAACCGGAATCTCCGGTTCTCCTTATATTTCGAATTTTTAGCTGCATTACAAAATGGGAGAATTTGGGGGGAAAATCCCTGAAATTCAAAATTTGGATCCACTTGAGCACTGGGCATAAATTATTCAGTATCGCCCACATTTTTTGGAACTAATTTTTTTCAATGCAATCACCGATTGATACCCGGACCTTTTTCGATTTCATCTTTTCTTTTTTTCGGTGGTTCAAGTCGCATTCTAAGCATGCATCTGATTTCACTACCCCTAGAGAGAAATAATGTGAGTCATTTATGCAATTTAGTAATAAAGTTGGCTCTCTGACTCTTTCTTTTTTGTTTTACCGAATAACATTTCAATTTCTTCATTTTCTTAGGTAGTTACAGCCTACCGCTTTTAATCAGTACATAGGAAGATCACAACTCAGCTGAACTAATGACTTTAACGCCAAAGCAGTAAGCGTCACCAGACTGACATTAATGGTAGTCTTCCCGATTTTCAAGTCTCTTTTCTATCCATAATCGTGAAGATATTGCGATGCCCGAAAGTGCGTCCTATAAAGCTCCAAGATAATAGAAAAGAAGTGTTTAGCTTGATATGGCCAAATCACTTTCCTACTTTTTTCCAGAAGCATTTTCTCCCCGTAGCTGAAATCCAACCATATATGTTCGTGGTTTTGGAGCCAAACTATCGAGATATACTTTGGCTTTTTGAAAAATATTGATTTTTAGGAAAGTTTTTTTTACCTCAAGCATTAGATCATTGAAATCTCTGGTTGTCAGTCAGGAAACTGATAGATGTACTCTTTGACTGATTGTGAGTCGACAGAAGACAGCAGGATTTTGACTCCTGCCCGTGTTTAATGGGTATTCCCAATACATTTGTGTTTTTTTTTTTTTTTTTTTTTTTTTTTTTTTTTGCGGTGAGCTTGTTTCGTAATTTTTATGTCTTCCATTTTGAAAACGTGAATAGTGCCTTTAGTCTACAGGATTTTGCCAGATTTTTTGACGGTAGTACCTAGTCCACAAAAGATGAATTTGAAAAAGCTAACCTCATCATTGGAAGTTGATAAATATTCCATTATGTTGCCTTTTTTGTTCCTTTCTTCTTCTGTTTAAGATAACAACTGTAGTCATGATTTTAAACTGGCAATTGAAGAACCTTTCTATCGTGGAATCTGTCTGCCTTTGAATTTAGAATGTATCTTCTCAACTGTAAGCCATGCAAAAATCTCTAGTCACTTGGATGCAGCAACAGGTAATATTGCTTCCCATACTTTGTGTAGAAATTCACATGTATCAATCTCAGGTCCAAAATTTAGTTCAGTAAAATTTTGTGCTTGTCAAAAGCGCTTCTTTCACAGAAACTCCAAGGAGATTGTTTAAATCAAATTATTATACCATGAACTTCTAGGTGCAATATAAAGAAAATTTGGGAAAATTCCCTTGTGATCCAAATGGTGAATGAACCCATAACTTTGACGCACAGGTTACCATTTTAAAAGAGCTTGTACCATCTGCTATTGAAACTGGGCCCAGAATGAAATCTCATCTTTTCAGGTATTGATTTCAGGTGTGGTCTGAGACATCCAAAAATGGTTGACTTTTTTTCTAATTCCCTCCTGGGGAAGGGGGCCCCCGGTCATACGAAAAACAGTTATTTCTTTTTAACTTTCGAACGATTTAAGATATCGATTTGAACTTATTTTAAATAAAAGATCATTAAAAGAGCTCTCTTTTGGTATGTAATGTTTCGTAGTTTAATCAATTTTTGACCAATTTATGGCTTGTCAAAAATTTTCCATTAGTCCCAAAATCAGATTTTTGTAGTTAACAGTTGTCTGGATTGTATGCAGATGAACAAAAAACTGTTCAACTTGTAGTCCTTTCTCTGACGGTTAAAATGTGACCAAGATCATCTTGGGGAAACAATTTGTCTCGGAGTTATGACTTTTCAAAGTTGGCGCAGCGGGGTCCGTTTCCGCGGGGCAGCGCTTTGGAGCACGGGAGTCGCGTTGGACAAGTTACAAAATGAATCTGGGAAAACAAAGTTAAAATATATGAAATCATGCAGTTCCACGTATGTGGATCTCAAATCAACCAATTTGTGTGTCTTTTCTCTCTTGTACGGTGATTAAAATTATGTGGTTTCTTGGGCGGGCGGGGTGTCCTTGGTTCAAATAATTTTTTTTGAAGGTAGAGATTGTAATAACCGATTTTGGAGGCAATGTAAATCAGTGTTGATTAATATCCCTTTACTTTTGAATTTCTAAATACTTTCCAAGATATTAAGCGTGCTGGCTTTCTCGGTAGTTCTTATCAGTTTCGGCTCAAAACTAATATCGTGCCCTTCCTTGCTAAAATGTTTGGCCACAGCTGATTTGTATATTTCTCTGTTAAGGGCATTTCTTCTATGTTGGATCCCTTTTTGTCTGATGGTCCTACGGGTCTGGCCAATTTAGACCAGGGTGTCTACCAGTCCGTAAAGTCCGGAAAAAGTACGCATTTTTTAAGGTCGGTCCGTAAGTACCTAAAAAGTACGTAAATCTCGCGGAAGGTCCGTAATTTTTCGCATTTTGCGCTGCGCGTTCAGTTCGATCGCCTGCTAGTTATGCTACCCTCTGTGCGTTGGCCGTCAGGCGTATTAGTACAATGTCAGCCCGTAAGAGCGCGGTTGTTGCAGAGGAGCGGAACAAGGCATTTCCCTCGATTTGACGGAAACAGCCGAAAAGGTCACGGGAATAGCCGAAGTAAAGCGCGCGGCAGTGCCAAATTCGAAGAATTGCGATCAGTCATTTGAGGATAAAAATGGCCGCTATGCGATTATAAGAGCGGAACTTTTTTTCTCGCCTGATTTCCCATCGATAGAGGGTCCTTAACGAGAATCAAAATTTGCGACATCGGCACTGTATGGGAACCGCCCCAAAATCGAAAAAAAAGGCCAAAAATCGTCGATTTTCTCTCGTTTTTCGGCTAATATCGCAAAAACCGCTCATTTTTCGAGAACTGTGTAAGAACTTGCCTTAAAGTAGATAAAATTACGGACATTTTCCACCCGGTCCGAAATTTTTCCGATAAATAACATGCCCACTACAAGGTTGCCAAAAAAATCCCAAAATGTTCAAAATTTCATTTTTCTAAGGTTTTTTGCTTGTAACTTTTTTTCCAGCAATTTTAGAAGGTAAGTGTATCTGCCGAAATGAAAGTAGATTCAAAATGCTACAATTTCGTGTATCAGACTTGTCCCTAGGGCGTAATGAGACGGCTTCGTGGCGTTGCCAAAGTTCGGTCTCCAAGGGCATTTTCCGCGGCGGTGCATTTCACGCAACCGCTCCACTCAAAATTACCTGAAAAATTTTGCGAAAAACTTTCTGGATTATGTTTCTTATGTATTTCTTAGCGCTGAAACCGAATCTGAAGTTTTCTGCCTTCGATTTTTGCCGCTGAAGCCGCCATCTTGAAAAAACCTTGCCAAATATCATTTTTCGACTAAAAATCGTTAATAACTCGTTCCTTGTGCGTCGGGCGGCAAAAAGAGCTATTTGCCGAATGAAAGTACATAAAATTATGGTTTAGAACCATGTATCAAAGTTATGATAACATGCGTATACCATCTGCCAGAGCGCGCTGTAAATAGCGGGAAATTTGAAAAAAATCGAAATTTTTTGCGGTTTTCTCCAATATCTTTTTTCCTAGCGGTTTTTCGGCAAAATTGGCAGCACAAAAATTAAAGTAGACAAAAAATGCTACTAGAATCACTCTTAGTTTTTAGACTAGTGATTGTTTCAGCGGAAGTTAGGAGCGCTTGAAGCCGGAGACTCGCACGGCCGAAATCGGCTGCAAAGCTGCATCATAGTTCTACATCATGAGGAACGTTTTATGGTCTCCATAACGTTTCATTTTGCTTTAAGGCATTAAATCTCCTCTATAGTCAGTAAAATTAGAGATTTCACCCCTTTTGGCATCCCTTCCCCCAACCCCCATTCCTCCCCCTCCCCGATCAGATAACGGCGCGAAACCATTTTCATTGCATTTTTATCTCGAAAAACGCTATTTTGCAATTTCAGTAGTTGATGACCGAAACTGCAAAATAGCGTTTTACTGGATAAAAAATACATAGAAAACATATTCAAGAAAGTTTTTCGCAAAATTTTTCAGGTAATTTTGAGTGGAGCGGTTGCGTGAAATGCACTGCCGCGGAAAATGCCCTTGGAGACCGTAACTTTGGCAACGCCATGGAGCCGTCTTGTTACGCCCTAGCCCTAGGGCAAAGTCTGATACATGAAATTATAGCATTTTGAATCTACTTTCATTTCGGCAGATACACTTACCTTCTAAAATTGCTGGAAAAAAAATTACAAGCAAAAAACCTTAAAAAAATGAAATTTTGAACATTTTGGGATTTTTTTGGTAACCTTGTAGTGGGCATATTATTTATCAGAAAAATTTCGGACCGGGTGGAAAATGTCCGTAATTTTATCTACTTTAAGGCAAGTTCTTACACAGTTCTCGAAAAATGAGCGGTTTTTGCGATATTAGCCGAAAAACGAGAGAAAATCGCCGAGTTTTGGCCGTTTATTTCGATTTTGGGGAGGCTCCCATATAGTACCGATGTCGCAAATTTAGATTCTCGTTAAGGACCCTCAATGGATGAGAAATCAGGCGAGGAAAAAAGTTCCGCTCTTAAAACTGCATAAAATCACCATATGACTGGACTAATACGTCGCGGAAAGGTACTTAAAAAGTACTTAATTTTTCCCTAAGGCGAGGTACTTAAATTTTTCCTTAAGTACCTAAAAAGTACTTATTTTATTTTTGTGGACCTCAGTAGACACCCTGCTTAGACTCTGTCACAGTCATTACATTGAATTTTATGAAGCCCAGACTTTAGTTCATTTGGTATTTCGTCCTTTGAAATGGATTGAAATGTTTGTCTGATGTTGTTTTTATTTATAGGTGCTGCTTTTAGGTTATATTTTTCGAAATTTTTTTTAAGCTGGTTGTGCATTTTTGGATGGAATGTGATGGTGGCAAATGTGTCATCGTTTTTCTCAATTAGTTCTAATGTGCTTATTTCCCTGATTCTATTCCTATGTTCCTTCTTCCTTCGTAGTCAGATGAGATCTTTTTCCGAAAAACCGTTATTTTTTCCGACGTCAAGAATATTCCTTCATTCCTTCTCATTCCTTTCCTCTGTGAGTGGTAAGTTTATCATTGTGTGAATGAGGCTATCAAAGCTGGCATATGTCTAAGCAGGTGGATTATAGGAATTTTTGTTTATATATGAATTTACATGGGTTTCCTTTCTGTGTATATCGAAATCGATGCCTCCTTTATCATTTCTTATTATTTTTGGATCTAAAAAGGGAAGGACACCATATTTTTCCTCTTCACATGTGGACTCTATTGATTCTCCTAAGTTGTTCAGAATTTTCAAAGCTTCTCTTACATTAGACTTTCTAATCACACAAAAAATGTCATCAACAACTCTTCTCCAACTTTAGAAAGGTTGTGTTCCCTATTAACATTATTTATTTCATTCCCTCTACGAACTAACAGAATACAGATGAACTCACGAACTTTGTGACCACGGAAATGCTCACCACACAACAACTAAGCCGGCCTATCTCCGAGTGCTTAGGGCATCAGACCTCGGCGAATGTATACACTCCTAAAACCCTTAGCCGACTGCCCAGAGTCAAAGCTGCAGCCGGCCAAACTCAGCTCCGGCCCTGAGAAGCCAGCCATTGGACATCACTCGCCGCAATCCAAAACTCAAAACACTCGGTACGAAGGACACACAATTTCCCCGGAAATTGCGTGTGATCCATTTCATGATCCCTTCTTTAAAAAAACAAAAAGACAGAAAAAAAAATGCCTGAAATCTCAAGTTCTTTCCAGAAGATTTTTTAAATTTTTTAATAGTGCGTGTGAGCCTTTTTACCTGAAATTCCTGTAAAAAAACAAAACTAAATACTTAAGACCATAAAAAAAAGAAGAAAAAACCCCTTCCCCAGTGATCATAAAGTTCGAGTGCCTTACAAGTAACACATTAAAACTCAAAAATAAAAAACTTCTCGATGTCTTGACCTCCCGAGTGAACCCCTCCTCCGGCAGACTCTTTGGCAGCTTGAGCTTTAATTTAGGAGTCGACACTTTAGTCCGGTGATGGATTGCGATTCTTGGGTATCCAGAGAGCATGGGCTCCAATGGTCGTCCAAATTTGGGAGCCACGTTTACACGGCCCGATGGAAGCGAGTTGGCACTGGCTATGGAAGGCCGGTGTACCGGCAAATCTGAAACTCCCGAGGTGGTCCGGTGGTTCCTGTTGCGGAGCTGCAGTGGAAACTTGGTCTGCTCCCCTGGGAGCGGTACAAATGCCCGACAGTCATCCCCCTACGGTGCAATCAAGGTGTGCGGAGCTGTTTTGTGGTGCTTCAGATCCGCTGGTGGACGGCCAGTTCGACGCCATGCAGCCATGCGGTGGTATGGCCTGCTTGGAAGTGATGAGTATGATTTTGGACCAGGTCTCAATGAAAAGTCTTGGGCATTTGTGCAGGCCGAGAGGCTGTGGACATCTGGTCCTCGACCGCTGCTGGACATAGGATGGGGTACCCATTGCTGCCAAGACAAGAGGGTCATCCTGACTGGAGTCGTGTACTGAGTGTCGCGAAGTGACAAGCTGCCATTGAGATCTCCGTACCGCTCAGATCTTCATCCGTAATCCTGGACAGGAACCCTTGAATCGCTTATTCCCCGGAACACAAGAGATTCGATCGAGTGTACCAATCTAGCAAGATCAAGAACTGGGAAAGGGCTGGAAGCAATCACCCCTCCTTACCACCTGTCTTTGATCCAATACCAAGGGAGTGTGGCCCAGTCCGCCCTTTCTTTAAGACGGTAGCGATCGTCCACTCGAGAAGTCAAACTCCTCTAAAACAGAAAAAAAACCCTGAAATTTTTGACAAATTTAAAAAAACAACACCAAGAATTACACAAAAAATGAGAGAGATAGGTGAACAATGAGATTAATAACTCCCCGAGGAGTTTAGAAGAAGAAGAAAAAAAAATAAGTTGAACAAAGAAAAATAAAAGAAAAAAACGCAAATACAAAAAAATAAATAACGGCACAAAAATTATAACAAAAACGAAAAGTATCATTAATATCTCTATTAGGAGTTGAGAGAAAAAGATGATCAAATTTAAGAGTGAAAAATAATACAAATAATAAATGAAAATAAAATAATACAAAAATTATAATAAACCAAAAGAAAATAAAAAAATTTATAATTAAATACTCTTTGTCCAATTAACGATAATTTTAAAAAAAAAAACATAGTAATGGGGGCGTGTCCACCACTCGCTTTCTAAGTAGTATCTACAATGGCCCGCATTGAAAGCGAGAAAGACTGCAAGGCCATCCCAATACACACGATTTTTTCGTGATTTCAAAACCTTTAAGAGTTGAAAAATTATGCTCATTGTCAGTTCCATAGTAATTGAAAGAAGCTTACAACTAGAGTAAATAACAGGGTGTGTAACAGATGTACCACAAGAATAAATAAAGATAAAAACATCATGAAAACTAAAATAATGTATGGCAAAAAAAAAACTACCATACAATCATACTACTTGAAGCAAAAAAACATGGGGGGGGGGGCACAGAGAGAGAGAAAAAAAATTTAGGGCTAAACTCCTCACGAGGTCTCCTTTAATGACCGCGAGGAAAAGCGTGTAGCTGCAAGTTAGCTATCCAGGTCAACTGTTTTCCTCAGGAAGCAGCACAACCTGCCGACCACCCCTATTGCCACCACGGAGAATACTAGCATAGCCGCCGATAACGACCACGAGTGAGTCGTAGGTGCAATCCAAGGTCTACTTGCCCTCTCGCTCCTGTATTCTCCAAGCACAGTACTTAGTTGTATGTCACCTTTCGCTTTCTTTACGCAGGCTTGAACTCTCTGCAGTAAGTCCCCTTCCTCTCCCGCTATTCTTATCTCCTCTTTCTCATTTCCCGACATCAAACCTAATTCACTCCCTTCAGGAGACCCAAGGGTCCACCAGTCATAGTTAACCATGCTCGTGACACTCGAACCCCGCAACGTAAGGCGTCCGTCCCCTCCCAACTCACAGCCACCAGAACCTTTGAGTACACTTGCCCCCCTCAACCACGTAAAACCGTGCTTACTGTCGCAATTCGTACTTATTTTCGTCTCGTTCTTCACCGGAAATACCTAGTCCCCCAGAATTTTTTGGTAAAAATTCGTCAACTCTGCTATTATCGTTCTACACGCAATTTCCGGGCAAATTGTGTGTGATCCATTTCAGTATCGGAAGGTTATCATCGTTATGTAGGTAAAATTTACCGTTGAACTGCAAATATTTTTGCTGGATACAGGGTGTAGCTATCCTTAAAAAATTCGTTGACCACTTTCTCCCTTAGCTCGTTTTTCTTTAGCCACTTTTCTAATAGCTGCAAAGTTTTTTTTAGAGGCACGCTGGGATATAATGACTTGACATTAAAAGACACTAATATCTCATCTTGTTCTAGTTTCACATCTTTAACAGTAGCCATGAAGTCGTATATGCTTTTCACACTTAAAGTTTCGAACTTTTCTAATTCACAGCATGATTTAAACAGCCATTTTGAGATTTTTTAGGTGGGAGAATCAATTTGGCTCATTATTGGAAGCATGTATCTGCCCGGTTTGTGGATTTTGGGGAGGGTGTACATTGTACAATCTCGGTATTTTTGGGTTCAAAATTTCTAAACATTTATGTAGAAGAAGAGAAAAAATATCTGCGTTCATCTGGATAAATAATCATTTAGTAAAAACGTGAACTAGACTACATTTTGCAATAAGGAACTACTGTTTCCGGTTCATCTCTAGAGACACTTATCTACGCAGAGAAACTTGTGGATCATATGTTGTTTTAAAATGAGCTAGAAATTGTAGTTTTTAATTGCAAATTGTAGTCCAACCAGCACGCACGTTTTTCCCCCTCAAACATTTTTAGACTAATAGATTCCTTTCGTTGAAAATTTAAAGTCTCTGATTTCCTTTTTTTTCTTTCTTTCTTCTTTTTTTTTTTTTTTGGCCTTCGACAATATATCTATCTTAGATTGATTTGTGTAATTTACAGTTTTCATTGGTAAGAAAGCTAAGAGCGAAAAAGATGATGGAACAAACTGGAGCTCAGGAGAATCTGAAGAAGATAAAATTTTGTCCTGTGAACCTCGGCCACGAGACAAAGAAGCAAGGAAGCAACATGACAAGTCATCTTGCTTACTGTGTGTGAATAAGTCTAATGTCAAAGCAACAAGAGTCCGGAAAGTTTCAAGCAGTTCCTTTCACCGAATCAGAACAGGTATGTTTTTGTTTTATTTTATTTATTTATTTATCGATTTATTTATTTATTACCTATTTTTTTACATGCATTTTTGAGACAACCCACTGAGAACGAGACCCAAGTACATAAAGGTAAAATTTAAAGAAAATTTGTCAAACTGGGCCAAAATAGGAATGAACCACTAGACTAGGTAGGCATTTAAGCATTCTTATTTATGGTCCCTCCTTAAAATTGCGCATTGAAAACGATTCTCGCAACAAAAATGATTGAGATGAGCTACTAACTAAAAACTTTGGCTGTAGAAAATTTGAATTTTCCCCTCTCATGAGAAATGATACTTTACTTGAATCAAACAGCGCACTATAATGGTACTGAGAGTCTCCTCAATGAGCAGTGTTCTTTCCCCATCCTTTGTTCTTAACAGCATGAACAACGTGCAACAGCTGAGTTGAAGTTGAAGTGTCGATATGAAGGTCACCATGTTTTCTTACTGCAGAGGCTGTCATGGTAATGTCTAATGTAAGATTTGACGCAAGTAGACTGTGATTGAAAGTTTGAATTTATGCATCTACAAGCATATTTATCTTTGTTAGAAGTTATTTTCAGTAGTTTTCGTCGCACAATTGTGTTCTACATGAAGTTTTGATGAAAAAATAAATATGATAATGCTGAAATACACACCTTGTGTAGTAGTCTGTTTACATTTCATGGAGAAAACAGTCAAGGGATACACCCATCAGCCCAAATGCTCATCAACACAATAAAATTCATTTATGTAAACACCACGGGACTAACCTAACCTTGAACGAGATGTTAACAATTTAAGTGCCAGGGTAGTAGACTGGTGTCACTGCCGCCATTTTCTATCTATGACTTGTAAATTCCAATTATGGCAGTGACAAACAGGACGGTTCAATTGTGTCACAGGAGACCCTTCAAAAGAAAGTGTTATTTCACTGAAGGAACGATTTTACTGTGAGAATCATTTCTATCGTTCTCAGAACTGTGGGAATCAGCTTTTTGAATGCCAAGTCCTTCCAAGCTTAACCGACCCTTTTTAATATTTGAAAACCTCACTCGTGTGGACATGAGTTAAAATCGATAGAAGTAGAAAAATTCCCTGTTCTCTGTACCTATTGCAAATTCTCTGTTTCATGCTCTATATTTTGGCGGAAGACTGAGCATCTCCGCACAGAATTTAATGTCATTCTTTTCTGGCATTCAGAATATTCTCTGTAAAGGACCCTGCACACTCCTTATGGGAATATTTCCTGTTCGATTTCAAATTTATTTATTCCATTAAACTCTCGTATGGATGTTAATCAAAAGTCATCATTGTGCCACCTTTCTGTGAGGCATCGTTTTTGCACAATTAGGGACTGAAGTTTCGATAATTTTCAGGACAGGCCGGCTGTAATCGAGGAAAACTGTTGTGCGTGTCTGTCTGGTAAAGATTAGAGTGGGAGAGAGAAAGAACTTGGCTTGGACGTTGAAAAAAAAAAGCGTGTTGAATCCGAGATAAGACTGCCGCTTGGCAAGCGGTGCTGGTGGCTGATTGCAACCGAAGTGCACTGGGATTTTCCTATTTTCCATGATTACACAAACGAACCGTACTGGAGTGATAAAATGAGAGATTTCTTTGACTCTTTATCGCCGCACTACATTCATCTATGCAAGAAGTTATCAAAACTTCTACTGCGAATTGAGTGAAAATGGTGCCTTGTAGAAACTTGGCGCAACGATGACTTTTGATCAGCATTAATAGACGAGTTTAATGCAATAAATGAATTTGAAATTGAACAGGACACACATTTTCATGAAGTGTGTGCGGGGTCCTTTTAGTCAAGTATTTGTTGAAGCTCCCTCACAAAAGTAACAAAAAATAAATAAAAAAAAGGAAAACGAAGAAATTGCCAGCAAGACGAAGTAGATGCGTGTTTCTTCAGTCTTACCATCAGTATGCTGACTAGGATTTCTCTATATTGTCAAGAATACATAGATACGTATTATCTCGCAATTTTGGGACTTATAGATTTGTAGGAAGCATTCTAGGGGTGTGGAGCTCAGTGAATCCGATTCTACATGCTGCATCAGGAAGCGCTAGAGGCCGTCCCCTCTTGATGTCAATAAAGCATCAAATGGGAGTTTTTTGTACACAAGTTGACAATACTTTTTTGGCTTATGCGCAATCCTCAACTTACAATCAGTCTAATGATTTCTGTGTCTTTTTCTTTTTCATTTATGTCTCTTTAAATTGCATGCCTCGTTAAACATAGTTTTTCTCTAAATTTTGCAGAAACAGAAAGCAGTTATGGTGTGATTGGAGATGAGGAAAGTCCAATTTTGTTGCCATGGCAACAGAAAACTACAGGTCTCTTGGACAATCCAGGTCTAGAAACAAGCAACAGTGGCTCCAGTAATGAAGGGAATTCAAGTGAGATGCTGAATTTTTTAAAGTGTATTTTCCGAAGAAAATACACTATTTCATTTTCCCATGATGTCGGACCCAGACCTGAAACCTTATTAAGAGAACCGATCATGGGTCGTAGGTCACAAATATATATGCCATACACACACACACACACACCCTCACCCTCACACACACACCCTCACACACAGACAGACACACCCCCACACACACACACACACACATGTATAATTATACCCTACAAATGCATGGTGCAGGAGCTATCCAGTCAAGATAAAACTACTCAAATTTAAGTAAATTAAGTAAGTATTTAAGTAAGTTAATTTAAGTAATTCCTAACTTTTCCATTTTCGAAATTTTGTGAAGCACCAACATGTACCTCCAGACTTCATCCTTACTTCCCTTGATGTAGTCTCCCTGTACACTAACATTCCGGTGTATCTAGCCTTGCATGTTATTAACAATAAATGGGATAGTATTAAAGATCACACCTTTTTACCGAAAGATGAGTATGTATATGCCCTGAAAGTTTGCCTGGAATCAACTTTTTTTAAATACCAAGATGACTATTACCAACAAGTCAGTGGACTTGCCATGGGCGGTCCTGTGTCAGCGTGTATAGCAAACCTTGTGATGGAATATGTTGAAACAGAGGTACTTAGTTCTAGTGATGCAAGAGTTAAATTTTACAAAAGATTCGTAGATGATTCTTTAGCATGTGTTCACAAAAATGACACCCAAAAATTGCTTGATCAGTTTAATGCGTTCCATCCCTTTTTGAAAATTACCATGGAAACTGAAGAAAACAGTGAAATTAATTTTCTAGATCTCACATTAGAGTGTAAAAAGGGTACAAAGATCCTCACGAAATGGTTCCAAAAAAAAAACACACTCCGGAAGGTACCTCAATTTCTTTTCAGAATCTCCTTATCAACATAAGATCAATACAGTCCTGAACGTTGTTAATAAGGTTATTAAATTAACTGATAAATGTTATCGCCATGAACGACTGTCATTTGTAAAAGATATGTTCTTAAAGAATGGTTATCGAATGGGAATAATAGAGAAACAGATAATGAAAGCCTTGCATCCCCATAAACACAGTAATAACAATAAAGTTGGCAGGGCGTTTGATCCGGGTGAGGCTGTGAAATTTCCATACATACCACTTTTATCCGAAAAATTGAGCCGCAAGCTGAGACCCTACAATATTAAACCTGTTCTTTCTAATGGGCAAACATCAAAGTCCCTTTTTACAAAATTAAAAAGTTCAGAATCTGTCAAAAAAGCTTCCAATGTTGTATACCAAATCAACTGTTCAGACTGTCCGGGTCAACCCGGGACTGACCGGGATTGGTCAGACAAAGAGGTATATACAGGAGCGAATTAAATCTCATAAATACGACAAGAATGAGAAAACGGCACTCCACCAGCATGTTCATGACACGGGGCATAAATTTAACTTTGAAGAACCCCAAGCTCTTGTCTGTGAACCCATTGAGAGAACTAGATTAATTCACGAAGCCATTTGTATTAAAGCTAACAATCGCGCCATAAATTTCAGATCTTATACGCAATGCCTGAACGCCCTCTATGACAGAATGTTCTAACCTTGTTTTTCATAATTGTTGTTGTGTCGTAGTAGTAGTTGATGCTTTGCACGATAGAGCGCATGAGTAGCCGCATTTCCCAATTCCATTTACCACCGATCATCGATCAGCATCGGATAAACAAAACTGAGATTTTGTAGGTTACCTCAATTCGCCTCAATAGCTGTTCCATCTCTTGGCTTTTGTTAAAATAAGAAAATGTTGTTCATTTTGTTATATTTTCTGCTTGCTTGTATCATATTTGAATAATTATGTATTTTTTCTTGCACTGATGAAGATGTCTGATTGACGACATCGAAACGTCTGCGAAACATGTACTTAACTTTCAAACGGTAAGAAATTTACTTTTTGAGTAGTTTTATCTTGACTGGATAGCTCCTGCACCAGGCATTTGTAAAGGTAACAGACATTTATTAATTATGTATACTCTACTATATACATCCTAGAGGAGAGATCCAAATAGTGTAGTACAGAATTTAGAAAATTGAACAAGTAGGGGTCACAAAAGGGTAGTACACAAAATTAAAAGATAGGACAAGGAAAGAATACATTAGATTTGCAGATTAATTTGTTTGAAAAAGAGAGGGATTTCATGGAAAAATTTTTGAAAGTATGGTATTGAGATCTGAAAGTGGAGGGAAAATTGTGGATCTTAATTGTTGATAGGTAGGGCAAGTTATTAAAACATGTCCGACTGAGAGGGGGACATTACAAGAGATGAAGGTTGAGGGTTGAACTTTCTTAATTATGTATTGGTGGGTGAAAGACTATGTATGAATGTATGTATGGTTGGTTAGTAGATACGTTTATTTGGTGCTTTTAACAATATGTATGTATGTATGCATAGATGTATGGTTGGTAGATACGTTGCATGTATGTATGTATGTATGTGGGGATGTGTATGTGTGCGTTTGTGAGGGTGTGTTGGTGTGCGTGTATGTGTGTATGTTCAAGATTTTTCGATTTTTGGGTAGTTTTAAGATATTTTGACCAATATTATTGTATTTTGCAGAGCCTCATTAGAGCTACTATTCTGCCCTAAAAAATTGAAATTTGAGGCAATAGATTTTAAGGGGTGAGGCTCAAACGTGGGGGGGGGAGGGGGTGGAGATCAAATCTTGCCCATTCGATAACGCAAGTTAAAATGAATATTTTTATGGGTGGTAGTTTTCCTCTAAGACTGGTTTGGTATTGAATTTGAGCAAAATCAGCTGAGCCGTTGAAAAATGGCGAGCTTTGAGAGTTTCAGGTTGGAAGTGCGGGGCATGAGGGGCAGGGTTACCAGCGACCGGAAAAACCGGGAAAAGTCAGGGAAAGTCAGGGAATTTCGGTATTGGTCAGGGATTTTTCTGATTTTTCGTGGAATTAGGCGCGGGCGGTCTCGGGCTCGCGTTGCGGGATTAACTGACTACTTTTCACCTTAACAGACTGCGTCAGATCCGTACTTAAAAGTCAGGGAAAAATATTGGAAAGTCAGGGAAAAATATTGGAAAGTCAGGGAAAAGTCAGGGAATGGAAAAAAATAATTTGGCTGGCAACCCTGCTGGGGAGCCGGCCAGAGCACAGTGGGTCAGGGGGAGGAAGTTTTCGCCGGAGATGCGCCCTTACGTCAGAGGAAGAACGATATTTAGGATCTGTTCCTACCACTCATTTCGTTGATCACTGTTTCTTTTTGCTTAAGGTTCAGCAAGGCAGTCCATATTAGCAGACAAATCTTTAAGCAGTTGTTCTGGCGCCCGAAAGCACCTTCTAAAGTTAATAGAACAATTATTTAATCCAATCCTCTACAAGGCATGCAAACAAGGACTTCTGCAGTGAGTAAAACATCTCTTTCTTTGCTTCTTATGTGTGTAATATAGCTAGGAGATTGAGTTAAGACTGCAAGAAAACATGAAGTTGCAATTCTCTAGGGTCGCTTGGGGTAATTCCATCAGGGGGTAATTCTGGATGTGCATCATGGAGGTCAAAATATTGAGGTTGGGGAATTTTCGCGTTAGCATGTTGTTGCCAATGTTCAGTTGGTCAACCTCAGTGATTTGGGTCTCATTTTTTGTTTATTTACAAGTGATAATGGTGATGGTACAAGTGATAACTAACCCATCCTCAAGGTCTAAGTGCATCTTGATTATGGCGGGAACCCCAGGAAATCAGGTTTGCAAATGGTTCAACCCTAAGTTAAAAAAATCATATCTTTTGGACAAAAATAGCTGGGATGTTGGCATTTATACTGGAACGTCTCAAATAGTAAGACTCATCCACTTTGTTTGAAAAGATTAAATGTAAATGTGCAATTTTTAAATGCTGAAAAGTAAATGTAATTGGTTGAGGTTTTTTTAAGTATGCTTTTCATAAATAAGCGTTTACTGGGAGCTATATTATGGAAAATAAAGGAGACTGGAGTGAAAGTAATTTCAACTTGCTGGCATGAGTTTTTTACCGCACATTGGGGGGTTACATTCCTCATGTTTCATATTTTAGCTTGAAGTTTAATCCGAAGAGCCATCAGAATTCAGCAACTGAGTTTTTTTTGACCCTGTGTAAATTCATTTTTACCTCCATTACAGCAAGGCATTATCGCTACTTTTGTACAGGATGTCAGAAAAGTCGCCTGCTAACTTCTGAGCGCACAAAACAAAATTTGAGCAGCACTTGACACTTGGAGCGAGACAATCTGGTGCTCTGTAGGTACAAACTATAAAATGGTAACACCTGTTACCCTTTGGAGGGGAATAGGATGTTAAACATCCTTGCAGTTTTTATGAATGGAGAGCAGTTTTGGAGAAAAATGAAAATTTTTACATTGTTTGGCGTTATTACGGGTCAAAGCTTTTAACAGGCTCTTTTTAAAAAAAAAATGTCAACTCTCATTCAAAAATTGAGGAGGAGGCAATCTTAGCATCAACTCTCTCAGCACTTCATGTACTTTCAGAGGAGAACCTCTCTCAGTGAAGGACCACAACATTCTGTCAACTTTGTGAAATGTAGTGCAGTTCTTTGGATACAATAGTGAGCATCTTCTGGAACATCAACCAATGCTGTTCAAAAAGTTGGAGGCCCAAAATCCCCCTCTAGCAAAGGAAAGAAAGCTTTTTCTGGGAAACCTATTGGTGAGAAGGGGAAAATGTTCCTTCGACTTTCTGAATAGCAGTGTGCTCTCTCACAATCAGTTGCCTGATTCAGTGTTCAGCATAGGTCTACTTTTACCTTGAAAGAACTGGACTGCTCCATGCAAGGAAAACAAAACTATAGTTTTTCAGTAATATAAAGGGGAGGTAAAGTACGGTAGGATTCGACTAGGTTTTAATTACTATTCCTGCATTATTTACAAGAGAAGGAGAAAACTAAAGCTTATCAAAATCGGAGGGATTTTAAAGAAATTTGGTCCATAGACAAAAACTTAAATACAAAAGGTACACCTAATCGTCAATTTCATAAATTCTAAGCTCACTCGTTTTCTATTAGGAAAATTGCCTCAGAGCTGCACACTCCATCTTCAGCTTTATCACACCTGTTTTTTGTAGATTAATGCAAAGAGTCCCTCTTCTATTCTGTCCAGGTCATCTTTCACTAATTGGATTAAATGTCCGCGCATTTGAACTGTCTCCTTCAAAGGGGTACATGCAAAACGGGTCTTTTGGGGCTCGGGGCGGATAACTTTGAGACTTGTCCTATTCATTCTCCAAACCATGCCCCATCTTTTCCCAAAGTTTTAAGCCCCCCAAAGATTTTGGGGACTTGCAGCAGGGGGTCAAAGTTAAAAATCAGCAACCTTTTCGCGAATTTGTTACTCGAAAACCCGAGAATTTTTTAAAAACGCGGTTTAAACGAGCGTTTCCAGCGTGACGAGAGCTTCCAGAAAATGTGAGACGTCATAGGGTTTAGTCGACTTCAGCTCGAGTTATCGCCTCCGAAGCGGCGGAACACTAAAAGAAGACTCCATTTTTTTTTTCACGTCCGCGCCGATTTAAAAAAAAGCCATTTTTTTATTTTGATGAAGAACTGATATGTTGTTCCTGACTCTCTGTAGGCCCTCTAGCTTTTTACCGCATGCTGGGGAAATGTTTTGGTCGCGAGTTAGAAGAGAAGAAAGAATCGAGGGTCGGGAAAATCGGCTACTTTAAACTGCGCGCGCGGCGTTGATCGGAAGGAAAACGTCCCCTCCCACTCAATTCGGCGAATCACACACCTCGACCGTATTCGCATTGTTGCCACATGTCTCCTGGTCCGTCGCCGTTCGCAGTTTAAAATAGCCGATTTTCCCGACCTTCGCTCCTTTCCGCTCTTTTAACTCGCGACCAAAACATTTCCCCAGCATGGGGTAAAGAGCTAGATGAGCTACAGAGATTCAGGAACAATATACCAGTTTTTCATCAAAATAAAAAAATGGCTTTTTTTTAAATCGGCCCAGACGTGAAAAAAAATGGGATCTTCTTTTAGCGTTCCGCCGCTTCGGAGGCGGTAACTCGAGCTGAGGTCGACTAAACCCTATGATTTTTTGAAAGCTCTCGTCACGCTGGAAACGCTCGTTTAAACCCTGCTTTCCAAAACTTTTCGGTTTTCGAGTATCAAATTTGCGAAAATGTTGCTGATTTTTAACTTTGACCCCCCGCTGCGTCTCCCCAAAATTTTTGGGGGGAAAAGATGGGGCATTGTTTAGAGAATAAATAGGGCAAGTCTCAAAGGTATCCGCCCTGAGCCCCAATAGGCCCGTTTTGCACGTACTCCTTTAATTTTCCCGCTTCTCTCACTTCTTTTAACAGCGTGATACCTTCCGTGACAGCGTTCCCGTGCACAACACGCAGCCACGGTCCATCTCGTCACTTCCTTCTTTTATATTACGTTTCTCTAGTGATCTTTTTGTCAAATGCATAAACTCTTAGCTCACTCCCTTTTTATTAGGACGATTGCTTCAAAGCTGCACACTTCATCTTCAGCTTTATTACAACTGGGTTTTGTAGCTTAATGCCAGCAGTCCCTCTTCTGTTCTGTCAAGGTCATCGTTCATTCAGTGGTTTAGGTGTCTGTGCTCATTAACTTTCTCCTTCAAATTCAATTCCCCCGCTTCGCCTACTTCACTTCTTCCAAAAGCGTGATTCCGTCCTTGATGTTGTCCCTACACTATGCGCAGCCACGTCCGATTTTGTCACTTCCAAGGACTTCACTTCGTCAAGAACAAGGCACCTCAAACCGAAAAGGCAGGGATTCACAAGACTGAATGCAACAATAGTCAAAAAGTTTATTTCGGCCTTAAAGAAAAGAAAAATAAGTGTCAGATTGAAAGAGCACCAGAGAAACAAAATAAAAAAATGGGGAAGTGACGAGATCGGCCGTGGCTGTGCATTGTGTCATCAAGAACGGAATCCCGCTTTTGGAGGAAGTGAAGTGAGAGAAGTGAGAAAATTGAATTTAAAGGAGAAAGTTTCATGCGCAGAGATTTAATCCAGTCAATGAATGATGACCTTGACAGAATAGAGGAGGGACTGCTGGCATTAATCAACAAAGACCAGTCATGATAAAGCTGAGGATGAAGTGCAGCTCCGAAACAATTGTCCTTGAATTTGTGAGAAGTGGGTGAGCTTAGAGTGTATGCAGTTGATGACTGGGTTCACCCATTGTTGTCAAAGTACACTGTTTAGAGAGATCTTTCTTCATCCGCAACGTAAATACTGTTTGGAAGAGGATTTTGTCTTGAGTCCCTTTAAGATCAGAAATAAGATATTACTCATTCTTGAGAGGAACACATATTTTTGATGTACTGAATTAAGCCACTTTTTCATGAATTGCTCACAACTTTCAAACAAAAAGTTTCTCCACTCTACTTTATGTCACTATAAAGAGGGACTTTTCCTCTACGATTGTGATCGTTTTTGTTGATTTAACTGTCTTTCTTTGGATTGAGTAGGCTTCAAAGGAAACTGAAAAATAGTAATGGGTAATAGGGGAAGGTCGGGTAGTACGAAATCAGGGTAACAAAAGATTTCGGTTACTGTTGCTTTGTGGTGGAAAAGAAAGACTATTGAAACAGGAAGTGAATCTTGATTCATGTCTGTGTTCCTCCGTTTAATTTTTAACCGAAATTGACCAGCAACGACCTTGGGTGAAGTTAAAGCAAAAGTAGAAAACTATTTAGCATCCTCAAGCCACTCTCCTGTTTCCAGCGGCTTGTTTTACTAACAGTTTTGGGGAAGAAAGTAAATCAGTCAAGACTGTGAACAGGGAAAAGGACCCTGCACACTCCTTATGAGAATGTGTGCCCTGTTCAATTTCCAATTGTTTTATAGCATCAAACTCGTCCATGCCGATGCTGATCAAAAGTCATCATTGCGCCAACTCTTTAAAAGGCACCGTTTTCGCACAATCCGCGGTTGAAGTTTCGAAAGCTCCTTGCATAAATGAAGGTAATGTTGCGATAAGGAGTCAAAGAGATCCCTCATCACAACACTTGTGTGCGGGTTGGGTCGGTCGGGTGTATATAGACCGTATAAGCAAGAAAATCCCAGCGCTTTTCGGTACATTTTGATCAGCAGTCTTATCTTGGATTCCATACGCCTTTTCTTTTCACCGTCCAAATCAGTTTCTCTCTCTCTCTCTCCCCCCCCCCTTCCTACTCTATTATCCTTACCAAACAGACACGCGATGTGTTTTGGTTTCAGCCAGCCTGTCCTGGAAATCATCAAAACTTCAATCGCGGATTGTGCAAAAACGATCGCAAGAAGAAAGTTGGCGCTAGGATAACTTTTGATCAGCATCTATCGGCAAATTTAATGCAATGAACAAATTGGAAATTGAACAGGGCACACTTTCCCATTAGGAGTGTGTGGGGTTCTTCTTAATATTGAAATGAAAAATCTGTGATGTTTTTACTTTATCCACCCAAATTTAGTACCTACAGATGCAAGAATTGGCAACTTTGAACACTTAAAGATAATCCTAAACTCATTTCCCAAGGATGAAAATTGAAGTAATAAGCATGTATATTTAGTTCGTAAAGAAAACAGGAATAAATTCAGTTACCATGTTTTCATATTGTTCTGTTCCCCCTCTTTAAAGTAAGAAAATCGCCAAACGAACAAATAGCAAATTAAACGCCAAAATAGCCTCCCATAAAAGGGGCCTATTATAGCCGCTTTTTAGGCAGTTAATTCGACCATTGGACTAAAGTTTAAATGAAAGCTTACATTAACAGAAAACTGAGGAAAAAATTTCAAGATGAATATAGAAATCGTTTTCGATGTACCGGGGGAGGGGGGGGGGGTCAAAATCTGGCCTGATTTTTTGCTGTTTCCTTGTTGAATTTCAGGATTCTCATCGTTGTTTGCACATGTTAAGCACATCGATTCTTACATATTGTTCACGTAAAATTGATTTTCATCGTGACGAATCGATAGAAGGATCGGCTAAACCGATTTTTAGCGATTTTATACCGAAAATTGATGATTTTTTGGGATTGATATTGTTTTATTCTTGAATCATGAATGAATAAATGCCCCTAATACGACTTTAGCTTACTGATTTCAATGTATTTTGACACGCAGAATCGATTTTTTATGTTGACAAGTCGATATATCGATCGGGCATATCAAATTTTTGCGATTTATAAGGAAAAGTAATGATTAGAGCTGTACCCATCATGACTGGAGCAGACAGATTCTAACGTACATATACTCGTAGAGTCGGTTTTTAACGTTGACGTGTCCCTATGCTCATCCTGAAATTTTTTTCTGAGTTTTCTGTTAATGTAAGCTTTCATTTAAACCTTAGTCTGATGGTTGAATCGGCTGCCTAGAATGGAGCTTAATTTTGAGAGGCTCCCTAGAAAATTCAATACTTTAATTTTCATTAGTTTCTAATTCCTTAGTTTAGGCTCAATTTTACAATAATACAACAAAACTGTGACAAAGGAAGAATATACCGCACAAAGTAAGTTTCAGGTTTGGCCCACTACTCATTTAAACATTGAAAAGAACGCAGTTTATTATAGATTCATCAAAATACCATAATTATTGATGTCAACTAGACCAACAGCACTGAGCTATCGGTTTAAAAGGGACATAGTGCAAAGCGGATTGCTCAGAGCTGTTGTTTCAAATCAGTGAATTATTCATAGAAAAGTTTAGGGTTTGTATATGTGCTTAGAATACATGCTTCGACGAAGAATAAATAAAATGAACTTCTGAGAAAATTATATCTGACCAACACAGCTTGACAATACAGTCTTTGTGCTGTACTATTAAGGCTAATCACCTCTTATCTGACGTAAACAATTGATTGACATCATGTTATTCTGTCTGTTTGGTCTTTAGCTTAAAACAGCTATGCCAAGATTTATTTCAAGACATCTGTGTGTACTCGGACATCTGTGCACTAATGTCGATGAGTCCCTATCGCGCTCCAGCTCGAAGATTAGTTCAGGAACTATTCCTTGATACTCATTTCAATGAGGTAAGCAGACCAAATGACCTTTTCAGTCTTAATTTTATGGTTCCATATTGTAAAATCACAGCAATCCTACGTAAGTACTTACTCCTCCAAATATGAACAGATAATGATCTGAAGCGGAAGTATGAATGTAAAAAATAATTTCCTCAACATTAAAAATCAAAAGGAGCTACGTTACTTGAAAATCCTATGCACATGAATCTGGGACTACTGGCCCACAGTAGACCGTGGGCCAGCAGGGGGTAAACCTACCCCCCCCCCCCCCCCCCGTGGGAATTTTGAAAATAGTTCTTTTCTGGAAGCTCTTGATCAGTAGAATAAGATTATTTTTGTGGACGCGAATTCTAACGTTTTAGGGGAGGGAGAAACCTCCAGACTCCCCCAAAATTGCTCAGAATTCCGACTTTACCGCGAATTTGCCCATTTTTCTCGAAAATGCTTAATTTAAGAGCAAAACTGCACGTGACCAATTTGAAAACTCGTGAAATTTCGTTCCAGAAAAGTTGTGAGTGACTTTGGCTATGACCCGCGGCAATCCCTAAAAGAGGAGGGGGGCTTCGAATGCCAAAATATCATAAATTCCTGCGCAAAGGCCGTTTTGCCGCGATACTCGCTAATAACGTGGAGAAGGTTGGCTATATTGTAAAATTGTTTTATCCCTATAATGATAGAGTATACATTTCTCATTCGAAGAGGCGGTCTAACCCCTCGTGGGGGAGGGCGGGCAGCAGAACCCACCCTACAAAAACCATTGAGATCGGCCGTTTCCTTGAGGTAGTGTTATGCCAAAAAATAGGTGGCAAAATGAAAATAAGTAGAGTTTGAAAGCAGAGCAGAGATAAGTAGAGCAGATTTTCATTCTGATATTTATGTTACTTTTTTTTAAAAATTTTGATTTTGAGCATTTATTATTGTCGATTAACACTGTCTATCTAACGTTTCATGTATATTATATTTTATGTAGACCAATTTAACGAGAATCAGCCCAACTGCCGATCAACTTGCCTAATTTGCTCTCATATTTTATTTTCACCACAGAAAAACAGGTCAAAAATCGTATCAAAGTTTTCTGCAATTGTTCACTAACCTTTTAAGGAGATACTCACAAAATTTCAAATCAGAAAATTCCTTCGCTTTCTAATAGAAAGATAAAACCCGAGAAGCCATGTTGCAAAGTCTAATACGGTTATCCTGATTCTATGCAAATCCCTCCATTGAATGGTACGATTTCAAGAATTAAGATTTTAAATATTTCGTTCTTTCATCTCAGAGGAACTTTAATAATTCTATCAATGATACAGCATTGTACACATGACTATTATTATGTTCTAATGTTCTGAAGTGCTGAAGTGCAACCTGCTCGAAAAAAGTATTCAAATTTTTCCAAATATTTTTTTATTTTTTTTTTTTACTTGGTAGGTACAGGAAATTTGTTGAATTTCAAAAAATGTAAAACATTTCTTGGTTTTTTTCTTTAAAAGAATGTCAGGTACCAAATGAGTTCCAAAAGTTCTACGCTACGTGTTCCTTGTTCTCTTTAACTTCAATTTTAGAAGGTGCTTAATTAGTATTTTAAGAAATTTTAGAAAATTTCCTGCAGCGCAGCGCAATACAGGCACCATAAAAAAATTTTCGATTTCAGGAATTTCCTAGTCAACATTTTTTAAATTCGAAAAATGACTCAACATTTTCCAGGTTTTTTTTACTTTTTGTAATGTCTACAATAATAACGTGTTTCATGTCTGATTTAAGCTTGAAGTTGAAAGCTGTTAATCTAGAAAACGTATAATAAACCACAGTGCAAAACAGAAAACATATTCATCTCATCCAATATCAAGACTGCTCTACCGTTTCTTTTTTTTAAAAAAAAAATTATAATAAATTGATTAAATTTTCTTGTTTTTCCATTGTTTTCTGACTTAAAATTTCACATGTTAATCCCCTAAACGCATATCTCGAGGTTCCTTATTTTCAATTATATTCGTATGTGTATGCCTGCCAAATTTCATACATCTCGCTCCTACGGGCAACAAAAATCCAAGATACCTCAGAGAAACAGAGGTTGATTGCTCATTCTCAAGGTGGCGGCCATTAACCAGAGTAAAGCTGACTTCATTTCAATGTCAGGATTATTGGGTTCCTCACATATTTACACGTGCTCATTCCAAGTTTCATGCATCTGGCTTCAAAACAGCCAAGAAAATGCTACAAACCTCGGAGGAACAGGGCAGATCGCTTTTTTTCCAAGATGGCGGCCAAGTTCGGCGGTAAAGTGGCTGACCAAACTTGGGTCTCGATGAATTTCTATTTCCAACACACCCATGGATATTCCTGCCAAAATTAACGCGTCTAGCTGCAAAACAGCCGCGCAAATCTGAGAAACCGTGGAGAAGCAGGACTGAACTGTTAATTTCCAAGATGGCGGCCTTTAGCCGGGGTAAAAATGGCCGATTGAACTTGGGTCTCGATAGATTTTTGTTTTCAACATATTTATGCATATTCCTGCCAAACGCGCATCTCGTTGCAACACAGCCGCGAAAATCTGATAAACCGCGAAGGAACATCGCGAAACCGCTAATTTTCAAAATGGCGGCTAATAGCGAGGGTAAAATGGCCGACTGGACTTATATGTCGATTGTTTCTCATTATAGACACCCTTAAATATATTCCTGCCAAATTGCATGTTAATAGGTAGGTTAGAACGCCTGAAAAATGAGATGGTAATGGAAATCAGCGTATGGCGGCCATCTTGGAAAATTGCTGCCAAAATACGGGGACACATGACAGATACCGCTTGTGTCCCGATGAATTTCGGTTCTAGGCACCTTGAACCACATTTTCACCAAGTTTCATGCTGGTAGCCCAATTTGAAATATTTTTACCCCAAGCGACCGCACCATACGTTTTACCGGATCTTATTCTGCCATGTCTGAGTCCCTGTCTCTAAAAATTGAAGGGTCAAATTTTTTCGTGATCGCCAAGTTACTGAAAAACATCGTCAAAAATCGCTGAAAAGCCGTCGCTATAAATCGTGTTTTTCTGGCTTGATAAGGGCTCCTCGGAGGTATAAAAACATCCCCGGGCAAAATAATACTTATACTCTTTTATTCTACTATAGAAAGAGTCTACGAAAATTGAAAGCCTGATTTTTTACATGCTCCCCAATTCGTGATAAGAAATCGCGAAAATCGACGTGATTTCGACCAACTTAGGCGATACGGCCTAACTGTGAGCTTGCAAATGGAGGAAAAACAGCCCGTATCTGAAAAACTAATATTTTTCCCCAATCATCTGTATGAATTATTCCTAAAATCCGAGAATTGCCTTTTTGCATGGTTGTGAAGTCACCTAAAAAAATCGATAAAACCGTTGAAATATTGTATACGCACGGTTCGTTTTAAAAAAATTGAATTTTTCTGAAGACCACCCGCGATTTTTTTGATAAAAGTGTCAAAGAAGGCTCTAGATTGATGAATTGAAAACCGCAAAATCGTAAGTGGGGCCGTTTTTTTTAAATTCGACTTTTTCTATTTTTAAGGGTAAAATGGCGGCAAAAGCCAATGTGTGACCACCAAAACCCACCGCCATCTGGTCAAATTAAGTTAAAATTCTATGTATGTTAGTCGTTGACATGTAAATGGGTGTCCTCAAAAGTTTCAAACCCTCCCTCAAAGAATTGCACCCTCTCATGCGGTGTTGCCAAGTTACGTGCCCGATAATGACGCGGCACGCGGGGTGATGTAGATTTTGAATTGCGATCATCACCAAAAATCATTAAAACACTTACCATTATAAACTGTGTGGATAATTTTAGATTCAATTCGATAAAATCGTACACAGTTGCCATGTTTCCGTTTTTTAAAATTGCAAAATTTGGACAGAAAATGTCATATTTTTTATTTGATTAAAACCAGTGAATGCTTGTTTTTCAGCGACATTATCAATTGATAGACTATTAATTGAAGAATTTTTACATAAAATAAGACTTGTCAAAGTCACTGAACTTCAATTAGGGAACGCAGCTGATATATGAAAATAAGTACGCACAAATCGACGAGCGGATTTGGTTCGAAAATAATTCCCGATGTTATTGTTCCTGACCGAAAGTGTAACATTTGGATCCTCCCCCCCCCCTTAATATCCAAAGAAAAATGAGGAAAAATAGTTTTTAATTCACGAGTAAGTAGTAAACACGAACCGTTTAGAGATTTTACTGACGTTCGCAAAGAATTGAAGCCCCGATCTCTTGAAGTCCAGCTATAAAGAGAAAAAAACTTCAGGGTTCACAAATGATAGGACAAACAATGATACAATGATGATGGGTTCGTGTTTTATCTATTTGTTCCAGATTTCGAAAAATTGAAAGTAACAGCAAAAATATCGTAGTGTGGGAAATGAAGTTTAGAGGTTCATGACTGAGATAACTTTGCTTGTTCATTTCCGTGTATTAACTGTGCGAGCGATTTTTTGAGGTTCTCAGAATTTGCTTCGGAATCAAAAAGTAAAATTTGAACAATTTTTCACTTACATTTTGCGAAGAGAAGAAAAGATAACTCCTATCTTATTTAGTACATAAAAAGAGTACATCCATATCAAATCTAGACCGCCCAAGATTCATCTCCAGTGCGGAGGGCATTTTTGTTGCTGCTTATAAGTTTTTGGCAAACCTGCATACAGGACGAAAAGTACCTTTTTAATTAATGAATCTTGAATTTCCTCTAAAAGAAATTAAAGCTCCGTATTTTGAAAATGTCGCTGAAAAATAAGCATTTACTGATTTTAATCAAATAAAAAATTTGACATTTTCTGGCCAAATTTTGCAATTTTAAAAAACGAAAATATGGCAACTGTGTACGATTTTATCGAATTGAATCTAAAATTATCCACACAGTGTATGATGGTAAGTGTTTTCATGATTTTTGGTGATGATCGCAATTCAAAATCTACATCACCCCGTGTGCCGCGTCATTATCGGGCACGTAACTCGGCAACACCGCATGAGAGGGTGCAATTCTTTGAGGGAGGGTTTGAAACTTTTGAGGACACCCATTTACATGTCAACGACTAACATACATAGAATTTTAACTTAATTTGACCAGATGGCGGTGGGTTTTGGTGGTCTTACATTGGCTTTTGCCGCCATTTTACCCTTAAAAATAGAAAAAGTCGAATTTAAAAAAATGGCCCCACTTACGATTTTGCGGTTTTCAATTCCTCAATCTAGAGACCTTCCTTGACACTTTTATCAAAAAAAAATCGCGGGTGGTCTTCAGAAAAATTCAATTTTTTTAAAACGAACCGTGTACGAGGCGCGTTCGGCCACAATCGCGTTTTTTGCATTTTGAAGGGCATGTATGGGACACAAAAAATATGTTGATCGAATAATTAATTAGCATACCTTAAATGACCACTAGAATTGAATTAATACTCCAAAAATCAGGGCTCTAGCCAATATTTATCATGCTTAAACAGTGCGATGGAATCGGGCAAAACAGCCTGAATTACGTGATTTTTTGACACAAATTGCAAAAGCAGCACCCGAAAAAAAAATGTTTGCGACGAACGTTCTGGCTTACATTAGTTTGATGCCAAGGTGCAACTTTTCCTTCCTATGCATTTTTGAAATTCGAAAGTCGATGTTTTTCGACTCACTCTGTAGGACACCCCCAACTTGCAGGGAATGCCCTAGGAGACGTAATCTTTGACCGCCGAAATCCCTTAATGCGCCTAAATACTACTTATATTTTTTGTTAATTTTCATAGGTTTTATTTTGCGCATACTTTGTGTTATGACTAACGAGTCTTATTTGTAGACTCTACCCCACTATTTTACGGCTTACAATATGGGGATAGGGAGTAGGGGAGTGCTGCAGGGATGCCATATTCCTCAGAAATGAAAAATTAACCACCGGGCTGTAGTGGGCCTCTGATCCGCGGATATCGCTGGAAAAACGTTCTTGCCATCTGAACAGAGTTTTTCTTAGTACAGTATGCTCAGACTGATGGTAAGATATAATATCATTGAATAAATTAGTAGTTCAATCTGGCAGCAGTGGTGGTTTCCATGCACTTCGAGGATCGGAGGGTGGCTCACGGTGCCGTTAAGCTTCAAGGCGCTGAGTGCAGCAAAATGATCGTATTTGACAGTTTTTCATCAACGTCAAAACAGGTCTTTCAAGATTTAGGAGACTAATAAATCTGCCAACATGTAAGAAAATAATGTACAATAGTTGTTTTTAGTCCTTAAGAACTGTTTTTGACAATTTGCACTGTTGCAATAATCACTAAAGTACAGAACAAAGAATACATTAATTTTCTTCCAGGTTAGAGTAAATTACACAACCGTGTAAATTGTCAAAAATAGTTCTTAAAAGCTAAAAACATCTATTATATATTATTTTCATAAGGTTGTGAGATATATTCGTCTACTCAACCTTGGAAGACCTGTTTTGAGGTTGATGAAAAACTGTCAAATACAATCATTTTGCTTTGCCCAGCGCCTCAAAACTGATTGCGCCTTGACCCACCCTACCCCCATCCCTAGTTCAAAAATGAAATATTTTCGTGAGAAATAGGCTTCAGGATGTCTTAGCCCATATCATGTGTCAATGGGTCAGGATTGTCAGGTTTAGAATCATTTGGACGCATTTTATAGCCAAAAAGCGCAGTTCCGCGGATCGACCTATTTTCTTCGTATTTTAACCAATGTACTTTCCTCCAAAATTTTAATAGCTTCGGGGGAAAACATAGACTTCAGTGAATATGCTGAAACTACAGAATTATCTTTAGGGGACTAAAAGGAATGGGAAAAAGTTCCCGAGTTCAAGGTTTTGAGATGGTCACCTTCGGACCGGATGTACGGATATATAGCCCGGTTATTTTTATACCAAAACGCAACTTTTTACTACTAGTCATCTTGGAATTTCGAAAACATTTCAAAAACGGTCCATCTTAGGGGGGGGGGGGTGGTTAAATAGCCGTCGGTGTCCTCCCTCCCTAAAAAAAGTTTATTTCTTTTTTACTTTCTGAAAGGTCATTAAGAGGTTTTGGCATTATGTCTCGAAATCCAGTTAAAATCGAATGGTCCGGTACTGAGCTGTTTCCACCTGTGCTACTGTGGTGGTGGTATTTCAGGTGAAGTTATGTGACCATTGTTCCAAATTTAGCATTGCTAATTTGCCGTTTTTATTAAGGGTTCACCAGTGAAATTCTACAAGGTGGTGGCAAGCTCAAATCCATGCTACTGAGGCATAATATTGTTATCACGTCATATATTCTCAAGAATAGCTCGAACCGTAGCAGTTTTAAAAGTATAATTAATGTCAGCAGTAAAATTTGAGCATCTCAGGGGTTTATTTTATTTTGCTCTTCTTTCCTTTTCTTTTTGCAGCCTTTTAAATTCAATATTTCTTAAAGAAAGAATGTTGATACTGTTTCAGCTATTTGAGGAAGCAGCATTAGTCCTGGCAAACAACAAGATTGAACCTGCAGAAGAGTGTCCGCCCACAAATGCAATCAGTTTCATGCTTTGCTCTCAAGGAAGTGATGGTGAAAGCACAGACAGCCCCCTTATTCAAGTGACTGACAAAAAATCTCGTCACAGCATAGAGAATCGGAAAACCAACCTTGACAATAATAACTCAGAACTTGAAGTCATCTTAGAACTAGATCCCTTCTCAGAAGTGACGAGAAAAAGTAGTTCTGGTAATAAAAATTTCGAAAGAGTTTCCAATGATGTAAAACCTTGATGGGAAATTCGTAATCCAAATGGTTCCAATGAGTCCGTTAAGTTCGGAAGAATTTGGCCCGCAAATAGATGTTTTCTACAGTGTTTGGTAGAAGGAAAACGATGAGCATGGTTAAATCGTTCAAAAAAATTGTCCTTGCAGAGAAATTACGCTTGCCTTTGAAGGGGCATCAAAAACTCATGAATAGAGTGCTGGCAACCGCGACTTCACCGATCAGTGTTCGAAACTCACAGGCGCCTAAAAAGTAGGCTATGGCGCCTAAAAAATGAAGGCTCTGCGTGAATGTAGCCCCTAAAAATCTGAATTTTCATATGAAGTCCCATAAAGTAAGTAAAATAAATCTATTTGAATTAAAAAATCTCAGAATTTTCAACACAAGTAAAAGCTTTTCTATTCTTCACGATTTTATTCTTAGTGCTTTTGTCTTCCCCAAGTTACAGCTACTTACTAGTTCTGTTACGAAAACATCTTGCGTCTAACTTTTTACTAATTGCGCCGTATTATCTAGGCAAAAAGTCAATTTGGCCCCTAAAAAATCTTCAATGGCACCTAAAAATCGGGCTTGATGCGCCACATGGCTCCTAAAAGTCCAAGGTGAGTTTCGAAAACTGTTACCGATAAACCTACTTATCATACATGGAAGATGACAGTGGTGTCACGTATGTACTAACGACCATCGTGCTGCTGTTAGAATAGTGTTGTTATGTTTGATATAGTTAGTACTTTTAAGATTTAACATTTCGCAGAATCAGTATTTAATGCTTCAAATCGGAGTAATAAAAAACAAGGAAACATAACTTCAAGTTCTAAGTTTTTGTTCAGTACTTACTGTATCATGGTAGGGGTGTTCAAACGAATTCTTGCCGGAACACTATCGACATCGTCTCTTATTGAAACTGGCGGCAGTACCGACAGTGGCCATGATATCGACAACAGCCGGCCTTATCGGAGTTTTGAGAGCTCGCACTCAATACATTGTTGCCCCGTGTGTCGGTTTATCAGATTGCCTGGCGCGGCGGCGCGTAAAATAGATGTACAATTGGCAACAGCTTATTTTCGCCAGCTCCGAAAACTCTGATCGCTATCGGTAAGAGCGCTCTTATCGTAACTTTTTCTTAACGGAACTGTTTCGGTGGCTTACCGACAACCGATTGAACAGCCCTATATCATGGGATGTGAAATAAGGATATGTGCTTCCTATGTTCAGTGGCCACAATTGACCAAAGTTCTGGTTGCCATTTAAAGTATTGCGCCATGATTTGAAAAAAATTGATGATTTTAAGGGAAAAAAAATTAATAGCATTTTGTCATTAATTTACGTTAAGTTGAAGGTCTGCACTCATAATTTTTACTGAATTTTCTACCTTCTCTTGTTTGTTTTATACGACTATCGTTTTTTTTAAAAAAAATCAAGGATTAATAAAAATCTCTGTGGATTAGTAAAATTTCAATTAAGAGTCTGCAAGTGAAACATTACTCTGAGTTTATCGTGATCTACCACATTGTAAAAGAATGAACTAAAAGTATTACAACAGCCATATTTTATATTACTTAAAAGCATGCTTTCGTTTCACTGACCTCGGCACTATGTGTTATTTTATTACATTGCAAATACTGCATTGAGGAAATCCTGCGCGTATTAGGTTAATAGGTTAGCTTCCCTCTGCACTTCTGAATCTAAAAACTCATTCTGATCACCTACAACTGCCGCATCATTGCGTATTCTTCCTTGCTGTTGTATTATCAGTTTACTTTCAACAAGTTTACAACTAAAACCCCTTTTGTTTCCTAATTTCTCCTCTTTTAATTTGTTTGCGTTTCAGTAAGAATTTATCGGCTGATTGCCTTAATAAAAAAATTGGGAGAACATGATACTTTCAAATGATGCAATAAAGGAATTTTTTAAATGACTCATCATGTTTTTATCTTTATCGGCTTTATTTAGTTTTTAATTAAGCACCAAGCAAAATTGTTTTTGTATGTTACAATTTAAAGTAATGGACTTTTGTTACGTAACTTGAAAAGGTTAATTGTTCACCTAAGGCGTCCCTCTTTATAATCTGTTTTCTACTGCTGCATGATGGTTTTGTACGTTTAGAAATTCTTTTTTTTTTTTGGAATATGCTTATCATGGACAAAGTGGTTGTTTGTTGGTACAAATAAAATGTTATTCGACGGTACTGTACCATCCATTAAAATGTTATTTGTCGGTTCAGTGTACCGTCAATAATAAAAACATTATTCCATATCCCTAATCAGGAAATCTTTTGAGCCTTGTTAAAGTGACCTTACTAGATTTTTTTTACTGCTAACTGGAAAAGTTTTTACCCCTAAAGGGACTCCATCAAATAATTGGTTTATGAAACGACGGGTTTTGTCAGCTCTGTTGATATATTCAGAAAGTGGAATTTCGGAACCAAAAGTTAACAATGGATAAATTAGTTTAATAAAAATCTTTTCCTTGACCAAGGAGTGGAAAGGAAGTAGTTAGATTGCACAAACCAAAGGTTGTTAAGCATCTTTAAATGACTGAATGTATTCACCTAGGGGTCTTAAAAATCAATTCATATAATTTCGTATTTCAAAACTCGTAGTTCAGCTTATGTACTTTACTGGAAATTTCGAAATTCAACTTTGATTGGTGCTATCATTCCCCCTCTTCTCCATGCTTTAGTTAACTCAAGTGATTAAAATTATAATGTTAAACACAGAGGAAGGAAAATAGAGAAAAAGTACTGATGCTTTGTTTCAGGAAAAGTATACATGACATTGATGCTTTTTGATGACATACTTTCTTATGCTCGTCTCGTCCTCTCTAATAAATGCATTTCTCAAAAAATTAAGATCACAAACCAAAACCGGTTTTAATTACCATGGCTGGAAGAATAAGGTTAAATTCTCTTAACTTACTTACTTATGTAGTTTTATCCCGTGCCACGCATAGGAAAACCCCCACCATCAGCAATCACTGTGGTCATTGATCAGTAACAAATTTTGCTTCTGGATTTTTATTTACTTTTTCAAAATTGGTGAGTCGTACTGGTCTTATAAAAATGCAGAGATGAGTGGTATTAATTATAGGATTTTATCGTTATAATTGCAGAGTATTAAATTAATAGTCATTTAACGGTCTCTGTTTGTCAAAACCTATAAATATTGGTAAAGGTCAAGCATTCCGGTATTTGCCAGGTGATAGCAGCCGTTCACTGGTCTGTGCAGCACTGAGACTATTAGGACGTTTATATAATCCTCTCTTATTAAACTTCATGAGCAAATAAAAATACCTACTTTGAATTTTATCCACCCATATGTTTTCCTCTTCCTACAATTTATGGGAAATATTAGGGGGTGGAGATGAGTCCAACAAGCATTACATATGTAATGAATAAAGGGGGTGGGTTGGGTTGAATAGTAGTGTTACCTTTATGGGAAAGGGGGTTCAAAAATGCCAATAAGGTGTGTCAAGTTATTTGTATGAATGCCATAGTGAAGCTATACATGCATGATATTAATTCCAAAATTATGATGACAATAATGATTAATTAATGAAATGAATGGCTGAATTTGAAGAACTGGCATTGTAATAGGTTGCAGACTGGCCCCTTTGGCTACTCAAACAGCAAACAGCAGCAAACCCCCCCCCCCTTCCACTTAGCATTAGAATCACATGTATGATTTCTTAGGATTTTACAATCTGCACAGGCGATTCTCTGAAAACAGACCTATTTTATACATTGATCGCAAATATGTGGCGAAAAATATAGTAGACTTCCACTTCAGCTCAAAAATGTCGTTTTCTATCTTCTTGTTGAAATTACCATTAGAAATGGGGATTGCCATTCGAAGATTTTTGGTTTGGGTTTGCCCAGCAGCCTGGGAGCGCTACCTCCGAAATTATAAGTATGTCCAAAAGCAGTTCCTATCGTCCTATGAACTCTGTAATAGTTGCATCTGGCTAAAAGCAACCGATCAAAAGTTATAGGGTGNGGGGGGGGGGGGGGGAGTTGAAATTTTTGCAGGTAATGTATGAGAAAGAGAAAAAAAAAAGAAGGTTCCCCAGAGGAGTCTTGAAGACCAACAAAGCAAGATCGATACCCTTAAAATATTTCGTCCGAAACAGAAGGTGAATTTTCGGGAGTGGACTTAGTCGACTTTTTCAACCAGATCGGCAGGGTTGTCAACCAAAGGAGAAGAACGCTCTGCTGCAGGCAAGAACTTAACTCAGCTGCTTGATTAATGTTGGCCAACGTTTGCATAAACTCACCTCGGGATTGTTGGATAGCCCGGGGTTGGTTACCCAGCACAGGTTGGCAACACTGCCCTCAGAGGGTCAGGTGACCACAATCGTCATGGTGTAGCCGATCATCATGTCGTGATACCAGTGTCACCGTGTCGTGTTCATTCCCTTTTTATTTTATAATAAATATGAATATCGTTTTAACCGAGTGTTCACTTATTCAGATATTACCCACACCAAACATGGCGACGAGGATGTAAACGGGTGATCAACGAAGCGCAGCAAAAAAAAAGACGGAGGTGCGCGTCGTGAACCGGCACAAAAGGCCTAAATTCAACCATGGCTTCGCGCTCGGTATTTAAGTGAATTCAAGTGCAAGACATGTAATTTCGCTAAAAATGTTCAATTTTAGTGTATCGATTAAGTTCGATAATGACTTTTAGTATATCGATTAAGTTCGAATTTTAATTTCTCAATTGCACATGGGTCAATTTCTTCTAAGTTCATGATAATCTGTGTCGTTATCAACCTTCACTAATTGCAAGGTAATCATTGTTCGGACGGTACAATGGAATTTCTTACAAAGCCAGAATCACTGGAAATCAATGATAATATTAAAGAGAATTGGGAAAAGTTCAAAAGACGTTGGAGAAACTACGCTCTTGGCGCCGAAATCACCGTGAAATCCGAAGAGGTTCAGAAGGCCATTTTCCTTAACCTCATCGGATCCGAAGCAGAAGAACTTATCAACTCCCTTGCTCTCACTAGTAACTAGTCTAAAACTGTCGATCTTCTAGTCAAAGCTATCGATGAGTATGTCAAGCCCAGGACAAAGGTGGTATTTTCTAGATACCAGTTTTTCACAAGATCGCAGAAAGACGGTGAGGATTTTGAAACGTTCCTTCTCTCACTCAAGAAGCTGGCTGACAATTGTGGCTTTGGTGAGCTGAAAACATCGCTCATCCGTGATCGCATCATCATTGGCATCTCTAATTATGAACTTCGCCAATGCATGCTCGGAGAGGAATACGACTTCGATAGGACGGTTAAGCTATGCAAGTCAGTCGAGTCTGGGAAACTGGGGGCAAAGGAAATCAACGATCAAGGGACATCATCCACAACTGAGGTCAACTGGGTCAGCAAACCGTATTACAGCCGAAATCAACAGCGAAGCTGCAGCTCAGGTACTGGAACCAGGGTGGCATGTAAGGTAAGAAACTTATGAAAGATTGGAAATTTCCGTGAAATATTTCATGAAATTTCACAAGCCTGTGAAATTTATGAAATTTACGAAATTTTCTAATTTTATCCTTTATAATGACACAAAAATCAATTTATAAGTTCGTGAACGGATTCCGCATCATTTATAATCATTGTAGAGCCCCTTTGCTCCATTATTACTTTTTCTGTTATGGGGCTACAACTGCTACAAGCATGGAATGTATACCCCCCTGACCCTCCCTCTTCCAGTCTAGACTGAAAACCTAACCTCAAACTTGTTTGTTTACACTTCAATTCAGACGTTGCAAAATCATGTTTCTCACAAATTCGCTCTAAAAATAATGT